CACTGACAATGGGAAACCACGTCGGAAAATCTGGATGAACTTTCTCGGCCAATGCAGGGATCGAACACCCGACCTCCAGGCTAGCGAGCCAGCGTCTTAACCACCCAGCCACCGTGGCTCCGAGGGGCATAGAAGTTCCTCCTGACTGGTAATGTCAGGAACTCATTTATTCTATTCGTTGTCTCGTACACAGTAAAGACACATTCTGATTGTGAACTCAATAATAAATTACAACTGGATATAAAATTAATTTATTCTGGAGGAATTTCTGAGGGAATCTTTCCATTATATTGTTGGAGCATTGTTTTTTTCTTTATAAAATGGTATCTCATTAAAATTACATTGGCAGTTTATCACTCGTAAAAAAGCACAGCCAACTTCCCTGTCTCGTGCAGCATGCATTCAGTCCATGTATTATAATGCCCATGAAATTATCATGTCTGTTATTGTCCGTTGTTGACAGGGGAAATTCTATTATTGCATTGCGTCAAGTAGGCGGATGATAGGGGAAAGTATTTTGGGGCTCTGTGCATGGAATACCTAATCGAGTTTTAGGCCATCGGTATGAAACTGACTTAGTTAAATTCTGAACATACTGCCGATCCGACTTAGACAATTGAAAAAAGCCCAAATTAAATCAAATAGGCCGAACATTTGGATCCGAGTTGAGCGAAGATCCGACATAGGAAATTCGAGTTACGCACAGAAATTTAATAAGAAAAACGTGCAGGATCAAAGGGGCCAAACGATTTTATCCGAGTTGAGCGAAGATCCGACTTATATGAATCCGACTTATGCAAGGTTTACTGTATACGTTTTGGAGGCAGTTGATTCGATTTTCGACACATTTTCTCATCTTGGTAATTAACTGGGTCAAAATATGTGGAAATCCCATAGGAGATTTGGGGATTAAGAGTAGGCGAGTCTGCTTCAGATCCAATACAATGGCATCCATCAAGCATCAACTAAATTTCATTTAGACTCTTCAAATGATGAGACACAGATGCATCCCTATATGCAGTGAAACATTGGATAATGAACTGCTCACCGTCATTCCGAAAATGACGGAAAGATAATGGGTATTGAATGCCGACAATAATGAGCCGATAAAGATCCCTGGTCTAAGTTCAATAATGAGCGAAGATAACAATTTCATGGCAGAATAAAACTTGGTGTAAAGTCATGACTAAGTTCGACAATGAGTCAAGGGCGTGCTAGGGCCTCCGAATGAGGGTAGGCAGACCAAAGTTAGAGAACTTTAGGAGAGGAGGGGGCAGGATGGTAGAATCGATTTGACATCTATGTGAGCCATGACATACCATACATTGATGATTAAGCCCTAAACATGAACCTAGTTAGCTGCTATCAAGAACTAAACTACTTGTGAGTAAAGAAAAACAAGCATCAAAAGGGAGTGGTATTCCTTACAAAGGGTACCTATCAAGTTTCATTCAATTCTGTTCCCTAATGAGGTGAGGGTTTACGGTCAGAATTGAAAGTAGACCGACAACCACAATAACGAGAAGACGATCAAGATACATTTAAGCCAGGCCAAGGAAGTTACTGGTGCCAGATTAAATGTCAGTAGCATTCGTGGCAACGGTTAGCTTATTGGGCTTAAGTATACTAACCGCCAAAAACGTTCCCGTCGTCCGTGTTGAAATTTTCCAAAATTCATTTAGATAAATAAATAAAACGAAGACAAATTAATTGATTCTCAATATTATGGAAATATTAATCTGGCTGTAAAATCTATTTTGGAAGTCATCCGTGGAAATTATGGTCTGATTGAGCTTGTATGGGGCCCTTACATCATCATGAAATATGGACATACTCTGTACGTACATTGAATACGATTGGTTTTTAGTATCTCTGGATTTTGTTAAAACAAGGGAAGGGTGGCAGAAAAAAGGGGCACAATGTTTTCATTAGGGTGGGCTTTTCCTTGCGTATTTAAGGTAACTATGTTGAAATTCGCTTGCAAATTTTCGGAAGGGAGGGTGCGGGGGTGGGAAATCTCATCGGATTTGAATGTTATCAACCATTTCCAATTTCTGTTGTTTTTGCATTTATGATGGACTACCTGCCCAGCACGACTCTGCAATGAGATTTTTTGTTTAGGTTACACAGAGTGATGAACAATTTCAATGTTAGATGTTTTATATATATGTTAGATGTAGGGCTGTGTCGATATATCGATACACCGATATGTATCGATACGTTCCAGCAATATTTATATCGCTACGTAATAGGGCCGTATCGCCGAAAAAAATATTCAGTTGAGAAAGACCATGGATTGAAACCTATGTGACGAAAGAAGACGATCTCGGCATGTTTGCCAATCGAGCGTCTTCCACGCCGTGTATGAATTCCAGGTACAGGTACCGGTAGATATTATAATAATAACTGGGTCATACATTGATGGATTCATTGAACAATTGTTAGGTAAATTTAAATCTTCATTGAATATAATCCCCTGATAGAACACCGAATACACCGAGAAACAATCATTTAATAATATATTTTCCTGATGGCGTCTCCAATGCTGAATTTCAATGACACGTGACATATCGGTGGCGAATTAGGTCAATAAACCAGTTCTAAATAGCGCTTACTGTTATGATTTTTTTTATTTTATACACATTCTGACTAAGGCTTAAATTTAAAAATATTGTCGTTGTTATTGAAGGCTATATCATAATGTCGCCGAATTTTTGTTTTTAAGCAATTTCAAGTATGGTTGTCACGTGACAATTGTACCGTGTGTCTATCATTGGCGAATGAATAAAAACTTTTACAAGTTACGTGACTTGTTGCATGATAGACAGAAAACTACAAATTGTGTTATGAAGAAATGCCATGGCGCCGTATTAGCCTACATTGTATTTTGGCTACATGTACGGCATTTTCTGATACTGGCAATAGTAGAAAAATAGGCCTACTAATATTTTAGATCATCGACTTATGAAAGGCGAACGTTTCATCGAATAAACCATGGACCTTATAATCCATGGACCTTATATTATAAGGTCCATGAATAAACGAAGACGGTAATTTATTCTGGAATATTACTGACGTGAACTTCAAGTTGGTACGTGAAATAAATATGGAAAATTTTCAAAAGGTGTACCTCTGTCGTTATTTTTGTGGTAATCACATACATACGGCATTCTCCATAAATTACCAAGAATTATTTTTGTTGAAGTCTAGTTATATCAAAGGGAATAGACTCTTATAATTAACCCATTTCCTACGGGATCTCAATTGACCCAACATTATTCTGGCCGTTTGTTTCAAAATAGATTAAGAACCCTGATGCTTGCTTTTTCATCTCAAATGTCTTGAAACAGAATGTAGTTTGGAATTATTTTGGGCATAATTAGTGATGTCACCATATCGCACTACGTATCGCGTATCGGTTTGCCGTATCGTCAATACGTATTGTATCGAAAATGAACTGTATCGACACAGCCCTAGTTAGATGTGCAAGTAATTAATGAGTGTCATCTATTTAGGGACACCAGCATCAATGTTGATTTGTAAAATACGGCTAGATAAATGTCCAGTCGTCAAATGTCTAAAATATAGATGTTGTAATGGCAGTCACTGATTATATCTGTTGTAATGGACCATCTGCTAGTCTTTCTAACAGACCATGAATTTTGGTACCATGGACTGTCTAGACCTTGATACAGGTTCCTCCACTTCAATATCGTTACAACATTGTGCAATAGTGAAAGTTGCAACATTCCACATGTTATTTTCCACTGAGCTTAAAATCACGACCATAATTTCTCAGCTTAGCTGCCTTATTAAAGCCTTGAATACCCATTATTTTCGGAATAACGGTGTGCTGTTCATTATCACATGGTTCACTGCATATCTGACAAATAGGCGATACTGTATCCATTTGTGTCTCAACATTTGAATCATTTTGTGAATTAAATTCGCCATGTGCTTCAATAGGCATGATCAGCTTCAGCAGTGACCTGGGAATGGCCCCAGTCGACATACCCCTACGCCGCTACCGCAGTGAGACATTCCAAATGAAATTTTCTTGATACTGGATGAATGTCATTGTATTAGGTCTAATAGGAGTTTCATTAATCTCCAAATTTGATCCTTATGTAAAATTCGAATTTTCCCGCCAAAACTGAACGTCATATTGAATAACCCCCTATATTGACTCAGCGGTAACACCTATCACAAAAGTGTGTATGGAAATGGATTCAGTTACCCCGAAAACGTATATTTTGATAACAAACTCGATCATTATTATGATAAATGGGTAGAAATTGGAATTTAAAAGCCAAAACCAGCGGCCATTTTGTATTTGGGCCAATTTAACCAATTTGGGCATGGAATTTAGACTGGGACTTTTTTATGGTGATAGGCCTAATATACGTCTAGACCGACCATAAACCGTGGTCGGCATTTCTATTGCAGCAACTGCTTGCATTTATGTTATCTTGCCTGGACTAATAAGCTTATTTTGTCCCGTATGTGTGTTGATGATGTCATACCTAAGAAAATACGTCATAGAATCACCAATATTGGCATAATAATGGATATGATTCTGATAATGGTAGGCTACTAATCGTTGCAGTTGTTATGCCATGTATAATACTAAATATTTAATCTTTTTCTGGTCTCAACAAAAACGTTCTGAAATATGTGTTGGATACAAAGTAAATCCATGATTCTAACAGTTAGTAGTGTGAAAACTTGAAAAAAAATCCATAGGGCCAAATAAATTCGATTCGACTGTCCGAAAACTTTGAGGCCTCTAAAAAAATCCTCTTTGGCCAACTGATGGGTCGTTTTTTTCTGTAATACTACTGGGTGTAATCTATCATTTAAAACCAAGAAAGCTTAGTTTGCACATTTCTGCCACAAAAAACCCAGTTCCGACAGCCTATTAATATTATGTAAAGTGATTTTATTAAAACAGTGCATCAAGAGAGATAACTCATGGCATGTTCATCTTCTCCAAATCATAATCAAAGTAAAAACATGAAGAGTACCTTGTTAGGATCTTTATTACATAACCATGCTACACGGAACAAATGTTTAACTTCTTCAGCTAGACCTATTCTAGCTCCACTATTAGCTGCTATATAAATACGTGGTAAACCCAATTTTCTAGCTAGTTCAGATGCTCTCTGAAAAATGTATTTATAGTATCTAAACGTAAATAATAGGTCTAACAATAAAAAAACCAGCGGCTGCCAGGCAGGATACGCCCACATTTTCGAGAGATGGATAGAAAACAAGCTGAAACGAAAGTGATTTTTCCTACAATCAAGGGCCATAATTCAGGAAATTACAATTCGATATGCGCAAATATCGAAAGGAACCAAGATCTTTGAGTTATAAACTTACATTTCAAGTTTCAACAAAATCTGATAAAAATTGTGACTTCTATAGGATCCACAACCTTGATATACCATATTTTTACGCTATTTGAGAACGAACGGCGGCCATTTTGTCTGTCAGTTTTGGGCCGATTTTCACGAAATTCGAACTCAGCCGTCCTTAGGGTGTAACGGTGATATTTAACACATTTTTTTAAATCGGATAAAAATTATGACCTCTATAGGGTCCACAAGCCAAAAAACACGTTTTTGCGTACAATCAGGGGCCATAATTCAGGAAGTTGCGGTCTGATATGCGCGAATATCGAAAGGAATCAAGGTCTTTGGGTTATAAGCTTACATTTCAAGTTTCAACAAAACCGGATAAAAATTGTGACCTCTACAGTGTTCACAAGCCAAAAACGTGATTTTTCGTACAATCAGGGGCCATAATCCATGAAGTTACGGTCCGATAGATGCCAATATCGAAAGGAACCGAGATCTTAGGGTGATAAACCTATATTTCAAGTTTCATTGAAATCAGATAAAAATTGTGACCTGTAGACTGTAGACGGACGGACGGACAGGGGCGACGACAATATACGTCCACATGAAAATGTGGGCGTATAAAAACCCAAGCAGACGGCAGATTATATTCAAGATTAAAAGAAATCATGGGTTCTGTATGACAGCAACCCAAGGAAACAATGATGCTAAAAAAACAAAATCAATATTTAAGATGGAATGCTTAGTAAGTTCAATCTGGTCCACTGTAAAAATCGACCTGACAAAATGTGTAACATGGAAGTCTATACCTGAAATAGAATATCTTCTTGAGGACCAAATGATCCAATCTTATGTGTCATATCATTAGCTATAACAATAATCTCACGTCCTGCTGGATATTCTGGTGTTTTCATTGACATCTTCCAGCCAACCATTCCAATCTGAAAAACAAATTCACTTATTACAATATTTACCATGAAAAAAGTTCAACTGTTATCTGTTAAAAATTCAGGAAACATCTAATAAGTTTTAGCAAGTGAAATACATTCAGTATCCAACTTGTTGACCTCATTTTAATATTCTATTGTTAATCTCTAACTAACCTCGTTTTCACCAGGAAGTCTATTTTGTTGTAGAAGGTTACCATGGTTATCAACAACGAGTTCTATAGATTGAAATACATCATCTGTTGGTTCTATATCTGTCTGTTTAGTTTGGAAATAATATTCCTTCCATAATTTAAACAGGGCCTAAAATAAATTAAATGCATACAATAATTCAGATATCTTAAATCCACAGAAATATGAAAGATTCATAGTAATACAAACTAAAAATTTCATTTTTAATATTCATTGAAAATACATGGTAAAATATAATGAAAACAAAAATTGAAGAATGACTTGATGTCAGGATGCAATATACTCAATCTTAAAAGCCCTGATCACAAACTAAAGTTATCAAGTGGAAATCAAACCATACGGATGACAGAGGATAGGCTACCTACAACAATTAGAAAAAGTTTGATTGCGAAAAAATTGTATCTTTATTCTCTTTCCAGACTGAAATCCTAAACGAAAAGGTTGACAAATCTGGATTCAATTTAATGTAAGGTAGACATGATCTTGTGAATGACCAGCATTTTGTATGGGACGAATCCAGAGTAGGACATGGATTTGTGACTATGAAATTTGCCTTTTATATGCTCACACTCTTTTGGTGGGGACAAAGATATTATAAAATATACAAACCATTTTAAACATGTCCGGATAATCATAAACATAGGTTGTACCACTGGATTGAGCTTGAAAACGTTTTAATTGTAGATGATCTTTAGTTAAATAAGGTGAACTAACAAATAAACCATGATATGGTCCTTGTTTAGCTCCATAAGCTTGAAACATAACCTGTAATCAGTCAAACTATTAATCAGAAAACTCATCCTCAATCAATGACAATTAGTATTGAATGGAACTACAAATTTTGTATTAAGGTAATTGCTGCTTGTGGGATCCTTAAAAACACTCGTTGTAATGCTGCTCCTTGTTAACAGATTTTGCAGTTGTAATAAGAAATTAGGATTCTTCTCCAACAGCCAGTATTGGAAAATGCTGTATCTAAAATAAGCTGATACGGCACCATGGCATTTCTTCACCATGTCTATCACAGGAACCGTACAGATTTTTGTCAAAAATTTATGTTTTTATGAAAGATCAATGGCACAATGATCATGTGACAACCATTATTAAAATTGCTTTAAAATAAAATTCCGTAGGACTATGCCATAGTTGTTATTAATAACCACAATTTTAAAAACTAAGCCTCTGTCGGTATGTGTATCAAAACAAGCGGTTGCCATGCAAGATACGCCCACATTTGCAAGAGCTGGATAGAGAACAAGCTAAAAAACACGATTTTTTGTACAATAAGGGGCCATAATCCAAAAATTTACCGTCCAAAATGTGCAACTATCAAAAGGAACCCAGATCCTTGGGATATAAAGATATTTTAAGTTTCATCAAAATTGGATAAAAATTGTGATCTCTAGAGGCTCCACAACCTTGGTTTTACCTACTTTTACACTATGTGGGCGTATAAAAATAATGGTAAACACTATTTAAAACTAACTCTAACAATCGCTGGTTTATTGACCTAATTCAAACCGATGCATATCACGTGTCATAGGGATTTGGCATTGGAGATTGTTGGAAATATATATTATCAAAGACGGCGCGATTCACAATCCATACAGAGGTCATCTTCTTTCGTCATGTGGCTCAATTTGATGAAAGCAACTTACTGGACCTGTTATGTATATCAAGCTTGTTTTGTTTATTTACCAGATTATCAAAATTACCGTTAAATGTGCTAATTACTTGGATTCTGAACCATATGGTTGATTCTCGGTCACTAAGGTATGACTATTATTGTAGCCAACAAGCAAGTTAATTGACTCCTTAAATTAACAAGTAATAATTAACCAGTTGTAATTTAGATTGAATTAAGATGCCACAGTGGCCATTTCATTGTTTTATCAATAGGCTTTTTCAACCATTGAGCGACTGAAGCCGACAATAATGAGCCAAATAAGATTGAATTATTCAAATTTTGTTGTCAATGAGGTTCGACGTAAACAAATAAACTATTTCATCAGGTGCGGTAACTAATATTAAGTGATACAAAAATGGAGGTTCTTTTAATGTCGATAATAAAGACCTGTAAATAAGTATTTTCATCTGAATCCGTTTAATACACTTGAATTGAAATACATGTATGAGACACATGCTGAATATTTTTTTTATGACTTGCGTATAGATGTTTGTTCAGGCGTTACATACTTTTTTTCTTCATCAAGACAATAAAAAAACTACAACCATTTTTGTGTGCGGGCGGTGCCCAAGAAACAACTTATTTTATTTGAATTGCCTGAAGATATATAATATTTACCTGTCCTGTTCTTTGGTCTGTTATTTCTCTATATAAGTTTATATCTAGATAATAACCACTGTCATTAGTTAGAAATAATCTTATTGGAAAACTTGTTCCTGTTGTAGAAATTCTGAAATATTAATACATTATAATTCAATCTAAAACAAAATTCCTCTATTCCCAACAATCTTTTTTGTCACTGTTGTTACTCCGTAAATCCTTTCTCCTCACGGGTGTGTTGAGATACTCATAGACGTGGGTGGCTTCAAACAATGGTATACAACAAAACATACGCCCACAGCAGCTAAATCGTCCGAGCAGTGGACAAGGGTTGTCGCATATCTATTCTTTTGTAGGTAATTAGGGGAATTTAATAGACAATTTTATACAGATGACATTATAATTTTCGTCGTTTGAGGGTTCACAAGGTTCTAAAAACTAAAACAAGGCCGTAACTCTGGAAATAATCTACAGAAATTGTTGAAATTCGACAGGCTTTTTTGTTTTACTAATTCAAATCATGCATATAAATTTCATACAGATTGGATGATAACTTTTGTCGTTCGAACGTTCACAAGGTTCAACAAAGTAAAACAAGGGCCATAACTCAAGTAATTGACGGAAATTGCTGACATTCAATAGGCTTCTTCATTTTACTTATTTAAATGATGCATATGAATTTCATACAGATTAGGTGATAACTTTTGTTGTTCAAGCGTTCAAAAGATTCAACAAAGTTAAACAGGGACCATAACTCGAGATGTAATTAACAGAAATTTGCTAAAACTCAATAGGCTTGTTCGTTTTACTAATTTAAACGATACATATAAATTTCATACAGATCGGATAATAACTTTTGTGGAAATTGCTGAAATTCAATATGCTTCTTTCTTTTACTAATTTAAATGATGCATATAAATTTCATACAGATCGGTTAATAATTTTGTCGTTAAAGCGTTCACAAGGGCCATAACTCCAGAAGAAATTAATGGAAGTTATTGAAATTATATAGGCTTCTTCATCTCTCTAATGCAAACAACATATATCAATTTCAAAACAATCAGATGATAAAAGTAGTCTGTAGAGTATTCACAAGAAATTGTGGACGATGGACTGACTGATGGGGGCGACGGCAATATACGACCACATTTCCATGTGGGCGTATAAAAATGATGTATCACAATCGTAATTGTAAATTCATATAATCGATTCCTTGAATTTTCAAAAACCTTATCAGGGCCTTCATTGTCTGGTCCGATTTTTGGGATTCGGAATAATAATTGTTGATATAAAATATTCCGGACAGACACCTCCGTTCACCTATAGTGTCATATGAGAGCTACAGCTAGGCACGGCCTATAGGTGCGGAATCTGCTCTCCAAAAATAGCTTCTTTACCGGGTTAATATAAAAGTTTCCTGGCTTGCGTATCACAAAAGTTTCCTGGCTCACCCAACTTATACATAATTGTTTGCAGTATTACATTTATATAATAACAAGCACAACTTTTTAATTTTAATGACTACTGTCAGATATACCGAAAGACGCGCTATCACACGAGGAAAATAGATACAAAGTATGTATTGCATGTTTTCGAAAAGGTTCGAGTATGTCAAATATTGTAGGAGAGAAAATATTGGATCGCATTAAAAAATACTATATCGTTTCCCCTCTAACCCAATACCGTCCAAAATTTGAAATTGTGCAATTTGTGAAGTTGTGAGAGACAATCCTATCACCGCAGTGCTCGGGAAGGCCGCGACTAAATCAGTACCTTTCCCCTCGGTCGCCCCCGATGCCTTCAGAGGCCCAGCAGCTCTTGTCCCCTCAACGAAACAAAAGATAGGTTGCAACATAGGTTGTCGCATATTTATTCCTTTGTTGGTAATTAGGGGCCTTTACAAGACAGTTCCATACAGATCAGATTATAATTTTTGCCGTTTGAAGGTTCACAAGGTTCTACAAATTGAAATAAGGGTCTCAACTCTGGAAGTAATCTACAGAAATTGTTGAAATTTGACATGCTTTTTCGTTTCACAAATTTAAATGATGCATATAAATTTCATACATAGCGGATGATAACATTCATCAATCGAGCATTAACAAGGTTGCACAAAGTTAAACAAGGGCAATAACTCTAGAGAGAGAGAAATGGGGTTTAACGTCCACTCGACACAAACTAGGTCGTTTCGGGACTAACACATGGTTCAATTTTATTTCAATAATTCGCATGCACGTAGGGGTCTTTAGCAGTGGGAGGAAACCGGAGGACCCAGAGAAAACCCACAAGGTTGGACAGGCGACCCTACTCCTTGTCACGTACAACCGGGGAATCGAAACCCCGCCAGTTGACTCAATGGCAGACCGTATGATACAGCGCGCGTGTGCTAACCATTCGGACATCCAACCCCCACTAATAACTCTAGAAGTAATAAACGGAAATTGCTGAAATTTAATAGGATTCTTCTCTTTACTAATTTAAATGACGCATGTAAATTTCATACAGATCAGCAGATAACTTTTGTAAATTTCATACAGATCAGCAGATAACTTTTGATGTTAGAGCATTCACAAAGTTCAATAAAGTGAAACAAGGGCCATAACTCTAGACGTAATAAACAGAAATTGCTGAAATTCAATAAGCTTCTTTGTTTCACTTATTTAAATAATGCATATAAATTTCAGAAAGATCGGATGATAACTTTTGGTGTTAGAGCGTTCACAAGGTTCAATAAAGTGAAACAAAGGCCATAACTCTAGACATAATACACAGAAATTGCTGAAATTCAATAGGCTTCTTCGTTTCACTAATTTAAATAATGCATATAAATTTCAGAAAGATAGGATGATAATTTTTGGGGTTAAAGCGTTCACAAGGTTAAACAAAGTGCAACAAGGGCCATAACTCTAAAAGTAATAAACGGAAATTATTGAAATTAAATAGGCTTCTTCGTTTCACTAATTTAAATAATGCATATAAATTTCAGAAAGATACAATAGGATGATAACTTTTGGGGTTAGAGCGTTCACAAGGTTAAACAAAGTGAAACAAGGGCCATAACTCTAGAAGAAATAAACGGAAATTGCTGAAATTCAATAGGCTTCTTCATTTCCCTAATTTAAATATTGCATATAAATTTCACAAAGATCGGATGTTAACTTTTGGCATTAGAGCGTTCACAAGGTTCAACAAAGTGAAACAAGGGCCATAACTCTAGACGTAATAAACAGAAATTATTGAAATTAAATAGGCTTCTTCATCTCACTAATGTGAACAACATATATATCAATTTTAAAACAATTGGTTGATAACTTTTGGCGTTAGAGCGTTCACAAGAAATTGTGGACGGGGGCGACGGCAATATACGTCCACATATTTCTATGTGGGCATATAAAAAGGAGGGACTGTCAGTGAAGGGATTAGGCTATTGGAGCGAACAAGCATCAGAATCTGTGCATATAGATTTTAAGAAACTATGGATAGGGGAAAGTGAACTTTTTTTTTTAACCCTATGAGAATCTCAACACCAGGCAACTGATTGATATGTTTGTATATTCCTCATGTGATGTATCAACTCAAACTATATCTATTATTGGGGCTAAACATTATATATTACCTAATAGTAAATTTGAGTTCAGCTTGTAAAACTCGTAATTTCCACAATCTGCTACCATATCTCATTACCATATTACGTACTGTATCTTCTAGCTATAATAATAATAATATCATACAAGCTACAAATAAATTAATCAAATTTCATGAATTTCCAAACAAATGTTGGACTCTTACAAAGAGACAATTAGAGCAGACTTTACAAAAGTACAATAATATCAATATCTCCTTACACCATACACTAAGTTTCACAATATCATTATTTTCAAAAGTTACTGATGAAAGAATTAATTTAGTGTAAACTTTACACTATTTACGTCAGCAGTAATTTGAAAATAACTAATGACCAAGGAGATCTGACATTACAAACTGCATGGTTCTGTATCTAGCTAACTAACAACTGCATATTCTAATTTCCTATGTAAATATGTAAGATCTTTAATTTAGAAAATAATGTTTTACCTTTCCAGGTTCGGTAAGGGTTAAAGTTGGTACAAAGTTTAAGAAGATATGATTACAATCAGTTTTGATCGCCTGTAATAGAAGTAGAAATATAAGTCAGAGACTGTCTTTTAGCTTGCCCATGTAATAACCATTATTGTCACATAAATTTTGAACAAAAATAAACTGAAATGCTGTTAATAAATCATGTTTTAAATCATAAAAATTGTCGGTTTTGTTTTGTGTGTAGTGCAGTCCTCCTGCACTTACTATTAGAGTTAGAGAAGAGTTTTAGCCCTTCGTACTGCAGAATGTTCTTGTTCTTTTTTTTTCCCTGGATTTTATCCAGATTATGGCCCTTATTGTTTAAACTGTTTGACGTTTTACCTTATGACGTCAACTGGCAGACTATCGCCATTCAAGAGACGACCAACGTTAACATCAGTCGCTACAGGCCCAGAGCTGTTCAGCGCAGTGGACGCTTACAGCTGGCCCCCGGATCCATTCACTTCATCTGATATTTCTTGTTTATTTATTGTAATGTCTTTGTAGTATGTCTTGTCCGCAGGTTTGTTTTGTTGGTTTAGTTTGCATGTAGTGCAGTCCTCCTACACTTACTAATAGTTATACCGGTAAAATGATAAAAAGATTTCTTACATAAGAATGAGAAAAGGCTACTTCTAAAGCATCCATAGCTTCTAATAATGTTCTTTCACCTTCATTTTGTAGATATTCAAAGGATGCTTCCTGAAACAGACAAAATTATTATTGATATATTATCCTCAGTGAGTTATATTAATCATTTGGTACCAGAAGCTATGGATTATTATTATCCAGAGGCAGATTCAATGGGGGGCGCTAGGGGCGCACGCCCCCCCTAATTTTCCACAGTGCCCTTTTTTACTGCTGAAAGTGCATTTTCTCAGACTCAAATATGTCCGTTCCCAACCCGTTGTAGGGATCCCAAATGACTCAAACCATCGAATCAAACACACCAGTCTGGGAAATAGCTACAGATGCAAGGAAATGACGGATAATTTTCTTGGGACCCTGGGCAGAAAGTGCTTATTATCGAACTTAGTCAAGGTATTGTTGTGATAAAACTATACACCAAGTGTCCTTACTCTTACTAAATTTAAACTAAAGTTATCATGTAACAAAGCATCAACCAATCAAATTGCTTATCTCTGCTTAGTCTAAGCAGAAAATGCTCATCTTCGAACTCCATCGCGACATTGACCTAATAAACACCTAGACCAAGTTTGGACATTCTACCTCAATTAGAAGAAGAGTAATTGTGTTCCAAAATGTGGGACGGACAGACGGACAGACAGACCCATTTTAATAGTCCTCTGCTTTCTTCGAAAGGCGGGGGACAAATAAACATAAAAGTATGTCGCATACTTACTTTGGTAACAAGATCTGAATGACGAATAATAGATCGTACAAAAAAACGATAGTCTGTAACCTCTTGACCTTTCACAACCTAAAAAAAAAGATGTCAATAACAAATAAAAATACAACAATCCAAATGTAACCAATACAGCTGCCTCCATCACTTTTAAAAACATATACTCCACCAAAAGTAGGTAATACTGTTTTTTTATGGTACTGGCCGGTAATTAGTTACTTATCCAACACGGAGATACATTTTTACTATGTAAAACTATTGATTATTAACCTTCACTCCTTATTTCAGTCCTGGATGTATTGTCCAATATATACAGAACATTAAAGGACTTCATGCACAATTTTTATGGAAATATTAAGAAAATCTGATGATGTATGACAATTTTGCATACAACATTTTAGGTACCACGTCATGTATTTAAACTGTATTTAAAATTTTTGCTCTACGGAATAATTGGTAAAACACAGTATACAGCTTATTGATAGTGCAAGGAATAAGGTACTTTTATCTTGCATACTCTTTGTAGCACCATGGGTCTTTTTTTGTCAGATGTGGAAAGTGGCCCAGATGTTCAATTATCTAATTGATCAAATATGATATAAATTATTACATGTATAGTGATTAGTCATTAGCCTAATAATGTAAAAAACCACACTTATATGGATAGTGGAAACTTACACCAGAAATTTCACATGTGATATTTGTTTTCAACCTAGAATTGAATGTTTACCAAATTATAACTCTTTTTATGTGTAAATCTGTCACTCATTCACTCATTTTGATTTAAGTGCAATGTGTGATTCTAATAATTAGCCAAAGATATTAATTAATTCAATGCTACTAAGTTAAAGAGTAAAAATTATAGCAATTTTGCTACAACTTCTCTTTGAAGTACCAACTGCTAAGAAATCTTTCATTTGTACATGCGTAGAAGTTTTTACATACCATCTGAAAACACATTCCTTGACAGAGAGAGAGAGAGAGAAATGTGGTTTAACGTCCACTCGACACAAACTAGGTCATTTCAGGACTAACATATGGTTTAATTTTATTTCAACAATTCGCTTGCGCATAGGGGTCTTTAGCAGTGGGAGGAAACCGGAGGACCCGGAGAAAACCCACGAGGTTGGACAGGCGACCCTACTCCTTGTCACGTTCAACCGGGGATTCGAAACCACGCCAGTCGACTCAATGACAGACTTTATGATACAACGTGCGCACGCTAACCATTCAGCCATCCAACCCCCCTCCTTGACAGACGCTAATAATTAGTAACTTATCATTACAATACATTGACTGGATTAAGATCAGCTCTGTTTACAAGCCAAAATTATACAACATACCTTGGCCTTTCCAAAATATAAATGCATCTTATAATTTGCAGTAGGAATAATCTCTAGATCAAATTTACGTAATCTGTTAATCTCCAGCTGGAAGGCTAATCCTGGTTCCAGATGGCGATAAATTCTATCTTCATGAAACTGAAAAGACATTCATTTTATTATTATAGTAATATATGTAATGTATATCATAATTATCAAAACAGCACTCTTAACTATTACATTGTTAACTTGCGAATTGTGTCTATAAGCTTTTATTAAATTCAGATATACAATATTTACTTTATCTTAATAGTAGATCTGTGAAATATTTAGAAATAAGACATTAAAATGTATTTAATAATGACATGATGATCTACATACTCACTTCTGTGAAATATCAAAATTTTAAAACAATATACAATGATAGATTGCCAGGCAATGAAACATATGCCCCACAGCAGCTTATTAGTATAAGTTGTCCTGGCAGTCAACAAGGGTTGTCACAGATTTTTTCTTTTGTCAGTAATGAAAACATTTACAACACACTAAATGTATGAGTAACAACCCATTAAGTAATTAGTTCTGCCCTATACTAACATTTAATATAAAAGGGTAATAACTCTGGAAGTAATTATCGGAAATTGTTGAAAATCAATAGGCCTCTTCGTCTCATGACCATACACACTGTATATCAATTTAAAGTCAATCATCCCTAAGATATTTCAAAGTGATCAAGGGCCATAACTCTGGCAGAAATTATCGGAAATTGTTGAAAATCAATAGTCTTCTTTGCTGCATGTATCAATTTAATGTCAATAGAATGTTAACTGTAGCCTCTAGAGCATCCACAAGCAATTGTGGTTGCCGGACGGACGGGCAGGTCAATGACAATATACGACCATATTTTAATGTGGCGTATAAAAATGTTTCTCAGTTGAAATCATTTGCAAAATGCAACAGTAATAAAAACAATCATCTTTAAATAATAAAACGCTAACCAACTCCAAAATACAACACAAATATCAAGCAATGAATATTTGCCCACCAGTAGCATCTTTAAGTGGCTATTCAGTTTTCGGGTCAAGGGCAATAACTACACATAAATTTTGACATGATTCCTCTTTACTACTAGCCAAACAATATCAGCAAGTTGAAAATCTAAATTCTCAAAGATTCAAACATTTCTTGACAATTGAAAAGCAAATCTGAATTTTGATAGGATTATTCCATTTAAACAGTTGAAACCGTCCCAGCCAGTTTGAAATAAAATTTACAATCCCAAAACTGTGACCTGAAGAGCCTTTACAAGGTTTAAAGGACAATATTGGTGTCAGTCATTATAAAATATGTGATAGAACTGGTTAAATACATCCCAAATATAACTTTAACACAGAAATCATTGCTACGGGAGATGTGTAACAAGCACGTGAAGAAACAAGAAGTGATGACAAACATGACAAACACGAGTTATCCTACTATATAACTGATTGAAGCAACGAGCGATAACAGACACGCGATCGAATTTCATTTCACCGATAATTCAGTTGAAAATGAAAAGCTATTATATGAGACGGTGATAGGATATCTGACAATTCAAAAAAAGATTTGGCTGTCATTAGATAAAAGATAACGAACAAATTAGAAAAGGTCCATGCATTACCATGTTTTTATTAAGAACAGAATGAATAAAAACAGGGGAATGCACAGGATTTTTCTATTTTTCTCGTTTATCCTTATCTAGTGACAGCCAATTCTATTTTTGAATTGTAAGATACCCTCTCACTGTCCCATATAATAACTTTTCAACTTCAACGGAATTATCAGTGAAATGAAATCAGATCGATGGTCTGTTATCGCTCGTTACATCAGTCAGATACATAGAAGGATAACTCGTGCTTGTCATGTTTAGCGTCACTTCCTGTTTCTTCACGTGCTTGTTACACATCTCCCGTAGCAATGATCTCTGTGTTAAAATTATATTTGGAATGTATTTAACCAGTTCTATCACATATGTAATTATGACTGACACCAATACTGTCCTTTAAGTAACAGACTGTACAATAACTAAATTAATGTATCACTTTAAATTTCTAAGATAAGCCGAACACTCTCAGCAAGTTTGAAAATCTCACAAACTCTGACCTGTAAATTGTTTATAAGAATTTTGACAGATTGATGGACAAGAATATACTCCCACACACAATGTGGATATAATAAAATACCCTTGTCATTCATAAACTATAATAAACAAATACATTTACACCCCCAGCTAACACAGCCAAACATATATGATCCCTTTTACTTGTGTTAAGTCAAGTGCTGTCCATGTAATGCATATATACAACCATAGCATGATGTTATGTGAGAGATTCTTTAAACATTCTTTTCTACCTTTAATCCTGAACATGCGCAGTTATCAATTTGGAATCTACATTTTCAGAAATCATAGGAACGGTAAAAATACACACTAATTATTTGGTATGGTGATGTAGAGATTTAAGACGTGATAAATATGAGGTCTAGAAAGTAAAATAAATGACTAAAGAAAAATGCAAATCTCAAGCAAAGTGGGACAATTTTAATATAAAGAATAAATAAAAACAAATCTGAATATTATTGCCCCTAATAATATCAACTCTAATGTACTCTGTGTAATTTTAACTGTGGTCTATGTAATTCTAAATGTAGTCTATATATTATTTCTAAGTATACCGGTAAGTAATCTGTTTAAATCTAAGTATAGTCTGTGTATTATAAATTCTGAACATGTGGTTTCTTAATGCAAATTTTAGATGTGATTATTTAAATAAATGGAAGTTCTACAAATATTCCCCACAATGAATGTTGTCTAAAACTGTTAATTAGGAATGGGCTAAGCAACATATACATTGAATGCAAAAAGACATTAATGTCTGACAGAAATATTTTTAGAATCTAGAACCAGAGAAGGGTATGTTAGTAATGTGGAATAGTTATGATATAAGTATTTGTATTTATTTTGGGCAAAATAATGCCTTCATTCCAAGCAACAGTTGATAAGCTAGCTTGCCTTGACACTACATGAAGAAGAAGTAGAAGGATTATAGAACCAAGTACTCTCATTTTCCGTCTGCAATAAAATCACCATACAATACATTTGTTGACATATTTTATTAAATAGACTTTCACTAATGTCTATTGTCAGACATTAGTAACAGATGATGATATAGCTGAATATACCACTGTCTATGATGAGATAGCTGCTATATATTCTACAAGCCAACAATGAGCCTGATCTCCCACCTCAATCCCAAAATAAATAGATGACACTGATTTATTACTTATCGTTTATAATTGTACTGACCAATAAAATTGTTTAACTCTCTGCTTAACTTGAGCAGAAAATGCTTATCAAACCATGGACCTTATAATACATGTATTATAAGGTCCATGATCAAACTTAGTCGAGGTATACACCAAACTATACACTTGCTAACATAGAAGCAGAGTTAGCATGTTTCAAATGATTGATAGCTCAAATCGCCCATCTATGCTTAGTCCAAGCATAAAATGTTCTTCATCCATTTCCATCAAGACATTTACCTAATGAACATCTATACCAAGTTTTAACATTCTATCTCAATTAGAAGCAGAATTTTTGTGTCCCAAAAATGTGAAGGATACACAGACAGAGAAACCCATTTTAATAGTTCTCTACTTTCTTTGAAAGGAGTGGAACAATAAACCATAAAAGCTAAATGTAATAAAAAGGTTCAACATGTTACCATATATTGTAATACACAAACACTTTCATAGACACTTTAACATCAAAAAATCTTTGAATTGGATCAAAAAATAAAATTGTCAATTTCACTGGATGTTATTTATGTTAAAAGATAAAGCCAAAAATGAAAGTAAAATCAGTAAACAAGCCAACTTCTGCTTGATCTTTTCGTTCTGTTTATTCTGATGGTCACTCCATTAACATCTAAGGAAAAGTTTAAGAGTCTATGACATAAGAATAATAGTAAAATGCCAATCAAATGTTACCATAATCAAAGCATTTCAAAAGATTTTGAATCAAAGGTTTTGATTTGTCTAATACAGACATGTATTTTAAAGGGACTGTCCCGATTTGAACAGAGTCTCAAAAATAAAAGTCTGAGTATAGAGGAATGGTGTATTTACATTGTCTCAAATTTTCAGCTCAAAATATTGAGTCGTTTGGGCGTGAACATCAAAACTGCTTATCCGGACACATAACCCTTTTAAGATTTCGGGTGAATTTTTTCGTTGGATGACCTGATAATCGATTCCCGTTCCATCAGAGGTCTAAACAATGAATGACCCATGTGCTGTACTTGATAACGAAAGGTAAATTTCACCTACACATTATTTTTATGAAATAAAAGTCTGGTTTTATCCAGACACCGCATAATACAGCTTGGGACACTGGTCTCCATTTCCAGATGAAGACTGACGGGTTTAAGTTGTTTGAAAACGTATCTCATATGTTTTAGTTAGTTGCTCAGTCCTAAGTTAGAGGATTTTAAGGGATTTTAACACAAAATTAAGCTGTTTTATTCTCCAAAATATTATCGGGATTGGCCCTTTAACTGAGATGTAGCAGAGTGAAAAACTGAAAAATTAAACAGAACGAAAGTTTACAATTTGAATGACTTGATGTTAGGGTCGGGACATATTCTGAATGGGATTGGAGGACTAGGCATAACCTCTGTATAACCCCTCCAAACAGAACAATATTTCAGAAATTCTTTCTGGTATTTCAGTAATATCACTCATCCTCCTCATAGATTATCTTAGATTAGATCATATTTTGACAACTGTAAAACTTGTGTAGATATATAAGTTCATATCTTAATTCAGATCTATAATTTTCATCAATTTTGAAAAAGAAATAGACCATTCAATCGAAAACTGAAATAGGCTCAACATAAAATCATACAGAATCAATCAAAATAATATAGATTACAATCTATGCAATTTAGAAGGAATCAAAAGAATAATAATAATCAAGTTGTTGAATTTGTGAAAGGGACAAAACCAGTCTTGCTATTCTGATCTATACAAACACATCACACAAGTTGTACGTAGTAAATATACACGCCTATGTCCATGTACTTACTTCAAACTTAGCTCTGTATGTGAAATATTTAGGTATCTTTCTCTTATATAAAACGACAAATGTCACTCTTCTAATTCCTCTTTCATATAGAGCTGCTTCCTGTTAATAAAATACAGCAAATATTTTCATAAAATATTTTCCATACATGTTAGTTAAAAGGATAAGTCAGAATAAAAGTCAAATATATAGTCTAAAATCATACAAAATCAAAGGTAGTATTAGGCAAAAAAGATATGTCCAAAAATCATTCAAACTGATCAATTTTAACACAAGTTTCCTTTAAATTCTAAACCAATATAGTTGTTATAACCCAGGCATATAGTTTATCTCTTGAATCAACCAAAATTTTCATTTACAGGGATGCCAAAGACTTTTTTTTGCCACTGTAGATGACTTTATGGAAAAAAATAATTTTAGTTCTAACTGATTCATCAGTGATTGTAAATAAATGTAATGAAATGGGGTTTAACGTCCTACTGTTCTATTCCAAACTGGTCTAATTAAGACGGGCATATGCCATACAGTGTGCTATGAGGGAAATTTTGCCCTGACATGGGCACTACAGCCTACTCTTATATTGAATTCCAACTGTCAAGGGATCTTTTACGTGCAAGCCAATGTGTACACTGGTCCTTGGTTTACTGTCCCATCGAACGACTAGACAGCTGTCCTTGTCAGGCCCTCCGTCCTGCATCACCGACAAAGGGGAACCACGCTGGCAGGGCTCACACTGGCTATCAATTTTTTTCCGCCAAAATGGATGATAATTTTTATATAAAAAAAACTTTCATATTTTTTTCCGCCAACTGGAATATTTTATCTGCCAAAAATGTGTGATGAAAAAGACATCTAACAATTTTATATCTCAGCTAGGTTTATTATAAAACAATTACCGATATCTACAATAAAATATACAACAACTTTAAAAATCTGTCTTTCAATAATAGATTAGCAAAGTTTGGATTTCATAAGATCAGATTTTATTTTTGGTGACTTTAGTCTATTTGAACACCGTACTGTACAATATATTTTCAGTATTTACATGTCAAACCTCACCCAAGGATTGCCAATTTTCTATAAATTTATGTGTACAGTGGGCTTATTGTTATCTTCAGGTACCTTAAAAGTATCAGAATCTGAATCCCCGATAGAACGATATAAATTGCAATTCTATTTGTAAGAGATGCTTACAATTATACTCATCGTTAACTTTTAGAGCATTTTGGCGACGTTTGTTAATATTTATCTGTGTTTATATAATGTGAATCATTCATGTCAATTATGTCTATGATGTAATGTGAGTTATTCGGGTGAGCATGTGCGGTAGACGGGAAGTGAGTGACCGGTTGGCGGGAGTGAATGGCCGCTCATGGCGGGATTTTGATGTAATGTCAGAAGGAATAAAATGGTTATAATTAACAGTAATATTGTGGTCTTAACATGGTAGCAGAGCGAGGTTTTCCAAGACCGATGGAAAGTGATTCACGCACATTTCTGGAGTAGTAGGCGACAAAAGTGTTGAAAAATTATCACAGCTAGCGAACTGTCAAAAGTGACCTTGAACTTGAGTGTGAACGAGACAGCGATCAACAGGAAGTGAATTATTAAAAGTAAACCGGGACTAAAAGAGTTTTATAAATTGACAAGCGTAGTATAAATTCAGAAAATATTTAATGATTACAATTGTTGGAAACATTTTTGTGGCTTTAGTCATATTCATATGTAGTATTTACAGTATAAATGGAGGACTTTTAGAAGTAAAGCAGTCTGTTTGGGGTAATAGTTTGAGTGAAATAATATTAAACATGACGTCTGCGTACAAAGCCCCGCCTCTCTTTTCTGATAGTAAACCATATTCGAGATGGGTAGATGAGATCAAAGCTTGGCAGTGCCTCACAGACTTAGACAAATCAAAACAAGCGCAAGCTGTTGCATTAACATTTGATGAACATGATCCTAGTGGAATTCGTGACAAAGTTTTTAGTGACTTACCCTTAGAAACTTTGAAATCTGATGATGGAATGAAGGCATTAATTCAATACATGGATAAATTGTTTAAAAAAGACCAGCTATCTGAAGCATATGAAGTTTATACAGAATTTGATCGTTTCAGGAGACAACCAGACATGAAAATGGAGACTTATGTTTTAAATTGTTAAACAATGCTGGGTTGGATAATAAAGATCGTAAACTTGTATTAACAGGTGTGGATTATGCTCAACCTCTGACTTTATTCACACAGATGTGTTCATCACTAAAGAAATTTTTTGGTCAACAGGCTATTACGTGTACATCTGATAAAGCTGAATCCAAATCTAGTATTAAAGTGGAGTCGTCAGCACTTTTTAGTCAAGATGGCGAAGAAGAAATTTATTTGACTGGTAATAGGTGGTCAAGAAACAATAGTTTACAGCGTTCACTTATGACAAAAATTATAAGTTTAAAACATTCCAAAATAATACTCAAAGATATCAATCTAATCAAAATAAGCCTGTTGGATATCAATTTTCCAAAAAGCTGAATCTACTTGGACCAAAGGGATATCCACTTAGATGTAGCAGTTGTCAATCCATTAGACACATGCTAAAGGATTGTCCAGATTCATATGAAAAGGCTGTGTTGTTCACTGGTAATATTAAAGGACAAATGGAGGTTTTCACCAGTGAAGCTATGAATTGTGCTGTTCTTGACAGTGCCTGCACATCTACTGTTGCTGGAGAAGGTTGGATGAACTGTTATCTAGATAGTCTGAGCTCTCAAGATTTAAATAAAGTTGTGCGTCACAAAAGTGATACTATATTCAAATTTGGTGGCGGTCAGCGGATGAAATCTCGTGAAAAAATTACATTTCCGTGTACCATTGCTGGTGTTCAGTGTGATATAACCAGTGATGTTGTAACAAGTGATATACCTCTTTTACTTAGCAAGGAATCCATGAAAAGAGCTAAGGTCAAATTAGATTTGGAGAATGATATGGCTGAAATTTTCGGAAAAGTAGTTCATTTACATTGTACGGACGCTGGACATTACTGTGTTGAACTTCAGCAAAATGATATTCTGATAAATGAGACATTTATTAGTACCAGTGCTAATACCAGTGATAAACTTAAGACTGTAGAGAAACTACATAAACAGTTTGCTCATCCCAGTGCCGAAAAATTGAAAGCTCTTTTACGAGATGCAACGATTTATGATGATGAATATCAAAAATGCATAGATGATGTTACCCATAACTGTGATGTTTGTAAAAGGTACAAACGCACTCCACCAAGGCCAGTTGTGTCGTTACCAATAGCGTCTGATTTCAATGAGGCGGTTGCTATGGACCTCAAGAAATGGAAGGATGGGATTTATTTTCTTCACATGATCGACATGGCTACACAGTTTTCAATTGCTAGTGTTATACACAATTAGACTCCATCCGTAATTATTGAGCAAGTCATGACGAAATGGATCGGGGGAGGCTTTGGAACTCCAAAGCGTTTTCTAGCAGACAATGGCGGAGAGTTTGCAAATGAAGATTACAGAGATGTGTGAGAATTTGAATGTGGAGGTTCTTAATACTGCTGCTTTTAGTCCATGGCAAAATGGTATTTGCGAAAGGAATCATGCTGTAGTTGATGATTGTGTTGCTAAAATATTAGAAGACTTTCCAAATATGAAGTTACATATTGCTCTAGCTTGGGCAGTGAACGCTAAGAACTGTCTTCATATGGTGTATGGCTGGAGCCCATACCAACTTGTTTTTGGAGCCAACCCAAACCCCCCATGCGTCTTTTCAGATAGGCTACCTGCTTTGGAAGGTACAACAATAAATAAAACTTTTGCTGCACATCTTAATGCCCTTCATTCAGGTCGTCGAGCATTTGTAGCGGCCGAGTCTGCTGAACGTATCAGGCGAGCGTTAAGACATCAGGTTTGGGTTTCTGGCGAATTCTTTCAACATGGTGACAATGTTTATTATAAGCGCGATGATTCAAACAGGTGGCACGGCCCTGGCCGAGTAATTGGACAAGACGGCAAAATAGTTTTTGTAAGGCATGGAAGCATTTATGTAAAAGTACATCCTTGCCGATTGATACGTGTTGGTGATGAATTTAAAAACTCTTCCCTCAGTGAGAAGTCAAGTGTAGGAAATGCTCCAGACAACATTATAGACACACCTGACAACAGACATAAACCTGACAGCAGTTTTGCTTCTTTTCCAGAGGAAGAAGATGACAATAATCCAAGTCATTTATTAACACACAATGAAGTTAATAATGACAATACTACTGAAAATAATGACTTACCATTAATAGAGAATGCAACAGAAAATAGAGGAGATTCCATTAAAATTCCTCATGTTAACGATCGTATTAAGTATAGATGTGGTGACGATCAACCCTGGACAACAGCTACTGTTATAAGTAAAGGCGGCAAGGCTAGTGGTAAATATTGGTCATATTTAAATATACAGAATGAGGACACAAATACCAAAAAGGGACTTGATTTTGCCAGTGAGAATTTAGAGTGGGAATATACAAATATAGATCAACAAACAAACATCGTACAGTATCAGAATTTATCTTTGGAAAGTGAAGTTCAGAATGCCAAACCAAAAGAACTAGCAAATTGGAAAACATTCAATGTGTACAATGAGGTAAAAGATGAAGGACAAAAAACTATTAGCACCAGATGGGTGATCACCAATAAGGAGGTTGACGGATCAGTAATTGTTAAAGCAAGACTTGTTGCTCGTGGTTTTGAGGAGGAGAGTGTGCGTTCTGACTCGCCAATGGCGTGTAAAGAAAGTATTTGATTATTCTTTGTATTAATCTCAATATTAGAATGGAGTCCAAATTCTATTGACATCAAAGCTGCCTTTCTACAAGGAAACCAATTTTTAAGAGATGTATATTTAGCCCCACCACTTGAAGCCAATTGTGAGGGAATTGTTTGGAAATTGAATAAGTGTGTTTATGGCCTTGTTGATGCATCTCGAAATTGGTTTCTGAGTGTGTCTAATGAACTTAAATCTAAATCTTGTGTACAATCTATTGTAGATCCTGCATTTTTCTTTTGGTATGAAGATACCTCTCTTGCAGGTATTTTCATCTTGCCTATTGATGACTTTATTTGGGCTGGAACTTTAAAATTTAAAGAACAAGTAGTAGATCATATGACTGCAAAATTTGTGACTGGGAGAATACAAGAAAACACTTTTAAATACATTGGATTAGAAATTAATCAGTCTGATGAAGGAATTACTTTACATCAAGAAAATTACATTAACTCGATAACACAAATCAGACTTGCACCTGGTCGTTCAGGAAGGAAGTTTGATAACTTGACAAATGATGAATTTAAACTTTTGCGTGAAATCATTGGACAGGTAAATTGGGTATCTACCCAATCACGTCCCGATTTGTGTTATGATGTACTGGATCTTACTGTTTCTTTAAAACAACCGCTTGTAGAGGACATTTTAAAAGCAAACAAAATGGTTAGAAAATTAAAGGGAGATGAATGTAAACTTTTATTTCCAAAAATGAGTTTGTTACAAAATCTCAAAATTGTCATATTCTCGGATGCCTCTTATGCTAACATGAGTGATGGTATATCAAGTGCTGAAGGCTATTTGGTATTTATTGTTGATGACAACAAGAAGAGTGCACCTACTGCTTGGTCATCACGAAAAATTCGACGGGTCGTTAAAAGTACTATTGCTTCCGAGACTTTGGCAATTGTTGATGGTATTGATACTGCATATTTTATTAGGTCTCTTCTAAGTGAAATGTTATTTAAAGATGTCAAGTCAAATAAAATTCCATTGATATGTTTAACTGATAACAAGTCAATCTATGAAAACATTTATTCCACTAAATTAGTACAGGAAAAGAGACTTAGGATTGATATTGCAAGTATTAAACAAATGATAGCTAATGGTGAATTACTAAAAATTGAATGGATACCTAGTAGCAAACAAGTATCTGATTGTCTTACAAAAAAGGGTGTATCCAATAAACAGTTACTAGAAGTTTTTAATTCAGGATCTCTGAATTTAGTTTATTAGTTCTTATTACACTGTATTTAAATTAGTATATGAGATGTTATGTTTATGTTTGTCTGTTTATTCTCAAATGGTTACTTTTAAGACTAGGTAGTCTCTCTAGAGGTTTTGTTTGTATTCCTATAAAAATAGAAAAAGGGGAGATTGTTAATATTTATCTGTGTTTATATAATGTGAATCATTCATGTCAATTATGTCTATGATGTAATGTGAGTTATTCGGGTGAGCATGTGCGGTAGACGGGAAGTGAGTGACCGGTTGGCGGGAGTGAATGGCCGCTCATGGCGGGGTTTTGATGTAATGTCAGAAGGAATAAAATGGTTATAATTAACAGTAATATTGTGGTCTTAACAACGTTAATATGATACAAATGGTGAACTGTTTTCTCTCACAAGAATTGTCACTATTATCGACCAGGGGTGATAATATAATTTGAAATAATGATATTCTATCGGCATGCTTGTATATTTTAAATTCCGTACATGAAGCCACTGTAAACGGACGGAATTCAGCTATCAAAATATTTAATTCTCTTTGAAAGGAACTTTTGGCCATCTTGATTACATGTATTACCATTTTTTTTTAAAGACGAAACGAAATATCAAATAATCACCGCTTGGATTAATCATTAGGAGTAAATAATGACTTGAGATAGGCTTTATATACACCATTGGCAATTATCAATCAACTAATCATTAATCCAAGACAACTGATTAGTATTACTCATTGACGCGATCCGGATTATCAGTCAGTTGATTAATTTATAGTATCCCGCCATGTGATTGACACTCAATAATGGTTAATCCAGTAGACGTGGTACAAGGGTTAATCAGCGAACTGGATGTATGAGATGTGTTGTTGACGTTTGGGAAAGTAGGACGAGGGGAAATGTGTAGGGAGTGAAGTGCTGTAAAGGGATAGTTAGATGTATTATGAATGGTTAGAGTGGCTGTAGTGTTACGGTGAAATACTATGCCGCCATCGTAACACCACAGCTTTATGATTTGTTAGACAGGAGTGATGTAATGGCTCTCAACAATTGGGTATGCTGGTACCGTCGCAACGTAGCCGTGAAATATATATTGTGGGGGGGAAGGGCGGAAACGGAAAAATATACAATGTTGACAGTATGTGCCAGGCATGATAGGGAGTGTGTGGGAGGGTCACCCTCATAACATTTTTTTTTTTTAAATTTCAGTTTTCTGTAAGCAGTGAAAACACTATTTTGGCATTGTTTGCGGGGTTAAACCTAAAAATCACATTAATACACCTATTGCACGATATTGTGAAACTAGCTGACGAAGACAGCTCGGGCGGCGATTGTTCGACTCAGGGCTGCTCTGTCAGTATCTAACAAACGCATTTAGTTCGCGTACAACTTTTAAAAACCGAATGTCAGTATGGTATTTCTCACATAATTGGTTATCGCAAAAACAGAGTAAACTGAAAGCGAGTAATCTCGACTCAAACCTATAGTCTATAGCCTACTTACAGTACTACACTCGTCACTAGGCTTCCTATATTATTGTTTGTGGACGGTTTACTACTCAGTGATAAGCCTGCGCCGCAAAAAGAGGTCTCGCCTTTTATTATTAGTATAATGACTTCCTCATGTGCGGCAGGTTAGTTTGCTTCTAAAAACACTGTTTTCCGTTCCAAAAAATACAAAAGTAATTTTCTACCAGATGACCATGGTTCTTTCACCGAGACTAGATAATTTCTCTCGGTGTAAGGATATAGCTATGGATAAGTTCATACAAGGTCAATAAATCCGCGGTCACTTCGGGTCACACTGTTGAGAAAATAAACCGATGGGTTTGTTTAGTAGCAAATCGAGCGTGAATCAATTGAGTTTGTACTGAAAAATTTTTGAGTGATATGTATGAACTGTCTTCACACATTCGGTTTATAATTAGCGATACACAGGTACAGTGGCAAGTGTTGTACTTCACAGACTGTTTACCTCCGAACTACCTCCGCACGAAATCCCCGATTTGGGTACTTGTTAAAAGAAAAAGAAATAGTACCTGTGCGCATGCCAGTAAAAAAAAACTAAGAGTTCGCGCATAAAAATGCCCGAACGTACCAGGCGCCAGGTCATCCAGGATAAATACGATTAGAATTTTAAGATTTCTTTCCGCCAGTTCTAAAAAAGTATCGTCATTACCGCAAAACATTATCGCCAAAATCAAATTTCAATCGCCACTTTAGGGGGGTTGGATGGCTGAATGGTTAGCATGTGCGCGCTGTACCATAAAGTCTGTCATTGAGTCAGCTAGCGTGGTTTCAATTCCCCAGTTGTACGTGACAAGGAGTAGGGTCGTCTGTCCAACCTTATGGGTTTTCTCCGGGTCCAACGGTTTCCTGCCACTGCTAAAGACCCCTACGCGCAAGTGAATTATTGAAATAAAATTAAAACCATGTTAGTCCCGAAATGACCTAGTTTGTGTCGAGTGGACGGTAAACCCCATTTCTCTCTCTCAATTGCCACTTTCATCATATTTTTATCGCAAATTGCGACTTTGGCGACCGACAGTGTGAGCCTTGCACACCGGAAAATCAGGATGAACTTTCTTGGCCAATGCAGGAATCGAACACTTAACTTCCAGGCTAGCGAGCCAGTGTCTTACCCACTTAGCCACCATGACCCCCAAATGTAATAACTTGAGTAAGATTGCTGAGGGAGCAAAGTTTTAACTCATATGAATTATACCTTGTCATTAACACAGACTTACATTTTCTTTACAGAAAGCTTGAAACTGACCAGAAATAACATCATCATTTAATTCAGCATGACTATGTATACCAATATTTATAATATGAATAGGATCATCTATATCTGAGGTACTCTGAAAAATCAAATACAAAATGATCATTTATACTAGAGCAACTATCATTTATATTAAAGAGGAAGTAAAACGATGTAATTATCTAAACATCATAAAATGCGGCCATTTAGCAGAAAATTCAAGCATTAGCCTACTTGAAAAAGTATATGTTAAAGTTCTTAAAAACGGCTAAATAAAACTGAGTGACTACAGTATTTATACAGTATGAAATATAACAAATACTTCACAATTACAGAACCAGATGTGGAAAAAAAAAATAATAATTACCCGATTGGACAAGGTTTCAGCATCCAGATCATAACCATTATCATGTAATCCTATAGCTGGACTATTAGGGGGGGATTCACAGTTAAATCTCTCCAATAAATAATGAAAGTTTCTGAAAAACATAGTGTCTTGTTTAGCAATTATAAAGACAGAATGCCAGGTAACAAATCATACGGCCACAGCAGTTTAAGGGAGAGAGAGAGTAATGGGGTTTAACTTCCACTCGACACAAACTAGGTCATTTTGGGACTAACACATGGTTCAATTTTATTTCAATAATTCGCTTGCGCGTAGGGGTCTTTAGCAGTGGGAGGAAACCGGAGGACACCCATGAGGTTGGACAGGCGACCCTACTCCTTGTCACGTACAACTGGGGAATCAAAACCCCGCCATTTGACTCAATGACAGACCGTATGATACAGCGCAGCACGCATGTGCTAACCATTCGGCCATCCAACTCCTCCCCCACCCCCCCCGCCACAGCAGTTTAAGGCTGTTGCTCATTTATTCTTTTGTAGGTAATGTGAGCATTTACAAGAAACTAAGAACATGATCAACAACAACCCATGAAGTAATTTTCAGAAATAATTCAAATTTGATTGGCTTCTAATACTTCGTAGTGCTAACATTTATTATACAAAACATGTTCTGGTAATCAGATGGTAACATTAGCTGCTCGGAGTATCAGAATATAATAGGTTTCTTCGTCTCATGAACTTAAACACATCATCATCAGAATGTTGTTTTTTTTCCAAATTGATCAAGGTCAATAACTCAATGTGGGTACATAAAAAAAAAATCAGAATTGTAAATCTAATTGATAAAAAATTGATAATTTTTTTTAATAACACGTACGGTTGAAATTCTTCAAAAGTATTGAAAGCTGCCATGACACCCATTCTTTGACATATTGGTGATTCTTCAAAATGTTCAGATGATCCAAAATTTAAGTCATCATTCATAGGAGCCAGACGTAACAAACCGCTATCAAACCGTGTAACCATCAATCTAAAAATAAACATCAAACATTCAGTTCCTTTAATGCATTTACTATTATATAATTATAATATTTTAATCTTATTTTCAAACAAATTTTCCAAAAATGAATTCCAAAAAGTTGGTATGACCTTACTTTTTCTTTTGTAGACAAAATACATATATTTGTCAAATGAAGTGATGGGATTTCGCCCATATATTCCGTACATGTTTGAAGCTATTTTCCAAACATCCTAAACTGTCCGACCAGGAATATGCCCAATCGTTGATAATAGGCTAGATTGATTAGGTAATTAAGTGATCGACGTATTTATCGTGTTCTACCAACTATACACCTACCTTGATTAACTACTTAATCTACCTTGATTGGCTAACTTAATCATTTGTTGGACAATTCATCAATCCAATCCTGATCAGAAGTCATTGCTTCTCCTTTGTCGGACTATATATCAATCCAATAAGAGTGATTATAAACTTAATCTATGTGATTAACCCATGATTTCTCCATTGTCGGATGCTTCAATCTCCTTGATGTCGGTCGACAACACATAGGAATTAGCCATATATGTCACATATCCTAATAGTATATAACACCCCAAATCAATATACATTGTATCCAATAACTTGTCTGTGATATTTCTTCAGTGGAAGCTGAAGTTAAATAAAGCTATTTCACACACACGCAATGCGGTTATAGTACAAAAACTGAAATGAAAGTAGAAATCTCGCAAGAGATGTGAAATTAAGAGATGTACACATGCTGAATCTAATACGTCTGATGTCGGAGAAAAGATTCTATTTTGATGGCATATTCACAGATCTATGATCATATTTTGAATGGGATTTATGTTTTTAAATAAATAAATAAACACGCTAAGAAATGTTGACGAATATTTTGATTGGAATAACGTAAGTAGTTAATTGTTTTAGACAATAGCGCGTGCTAGAGTCGAATGTGATTATTTAGCAGTTGGTGTCACCCGCTCGTTGTGGTAGAGAAACATTTACTGCCAAATAAATTTCGGGATGTCATTTTTTTACCTTCCGTATTTAAGTGGAAACAGAGTATAAGACGAATGCCAGACTTCTGCTCAAAAATGTATCGACTTATGACCCGAAAAATATGGTAATTTGGGGGGAATTTGAAACAAGTACGGATCTGTAGTAGTCGGCACATTTTAATTCTATGGTATTACGATGTCATGTAATTTTGTAGCAATATTATCGACATAAATTTGAATACTGTAGGGGAATTAAACATGAAAAATAACGAGGTGCACCTATTTTTTTTTATTACGTATGAATTTAAATATTTTGTTGACACGTGATTCTTAATTGTGGTTTGAAAACACCTGCTTAAATAATGATAAGAGTTATGCCCCTTTATTTCCGGGAAAAAATGAAATCCCATCACTGGTCAAACGTCATATTTTAATTTTTTATTACACAGTAATGTTTGTAAAATAGCTTTAATTAATGTCCGCTTCCACTGAAGTCATACAACCAGCATGATTTACACAGCAATACGGCAAAAATTATTTATACACTGACCTATTAGGATGTGATCTGGGTAATAAGAATCTAAATTCTACAATACACAAACCATTATCTAGACGTACATGTTGTAAACAATTTAGTTCATAAGCAATATAAGCTCTTCTGATATATACCTAAAATAAATACATAGTAGACATTAAACACAATTATATCTATGTTCAATTAGATCTATTAAAACAGAATCAATAAAGTACATTATTGGTAATATGCAGACAATATGACATGTGAAAACCATGTCTAAATTATTACTGAATGTAACAGTAAGCATGGTGCATAATGTAGGGTATTCTACCTGTTTAAACAACATTTGATGCCAATATCTAACTTGCTTATAATTTTGGATGGGCTTCTGCATGGATAAACATTTTTATTCTTACCTCTAAGGCAGCCATCTTTACAAGATCATTTTGATGAAAGAAAAACTCTTGCAAAATATCATAAATGGCAGTTTCTGAATTAATCAATTTCTATAAAACAAAATAATAATATAGATAATAAAAACAATATTATTTGATAGTGTGAATAAAATCCAACCATACTCAGAGTTGCTTGGAGGCGCTGATCAATATACATCTACATAAATTAAAACATGTCACAGTTAGATAAACAAGAAAAAACAATTACGATATGATTAGAATTACAGTACACAAGACTGTTAAAAAATTAGGAATCAGACATACTTTCTTTAAAACTAATAATAAAGTAAATTTTCATGAAGTAAAGCTTTGATAAAAAGGTTCCGTTTTAAAAATTATTCTTTACACATTCTGCTAGCTTTTCTATTCTGATATCCCATTTCATAATAACTGGACAGGATCATGAAAGTATAACGTAATATAAATATGTAATATCATTCAAGACAACACCAACCTGAAGATTTTCTGGACAGAAATCATGGCCATACATATCTACTGCTGAAAGGAAGATGGACTCCATTTGGTTATGTCGAAGTTCAAATGGAGGCTGATGCGCAGCTATTAATACCTGTAATAATAAGGGTAATTTTCAAAGAAACTTAAAAGGCTTTCTGATTTCTTAATTTATTTCAATATCATCTGGCAATCTGAATAAAACACAGATCCTATTTCGTTTCGTTTTTTATAGTTCAAAATTTAGTTTTACTTGTCTTTACTACACTAGGAACTAGAAGAGTTGTTATATAACCTGTGTTCTGGTTGATGTGAGGGATTAGCCAATGAAAAAGTCTGTTACGGCGAGTTTTTGGCGTGCAGTGCACGGAACTGTGGGTATCCCAGTAGAAACATCAATGCGGAATAGTAAATCAAACGTCTGATGTCATAGGTCAAAAGCCGCTCGTATGACCCCTGACACGACTTCCCACTACAACTGGTCAGATCATCATGTTGTGAAGGCTATCAAAAGTATAAAAATACAAAACGAAATATACATCTGTATTTTAATCAGATTGTATCATCTGGTTACATTCAATTTCAAATGAAAATTGAAACAAACCAAATCAAACCAGTTTAGCAGTTGCCAAGAAAAATGCATATTTAGGGATAAATTATACAAAACAACTTCTTTGTAAAGTCCACTAATACAAATAATCAACCTTACTTGTCGAGCTCTAAGAGCCACTTTAGCATTTTCTGTTTTATTAAGTTGTGTTAATTCTGATAATATTGTAGCTAGTTCATCCGTTAAACCAGGTTCTTTACCACACAGATGATCCTAAAAAAATAACATTAATAAATAATTAACTTGCATACATCTGTCTCAATAACCATGTTTAACTGTCATTACCCATCTATACTCTTCAAAAAAAGTAGGGGATATTCAGAAACAATACAAAACTGCGGAAATGCACTGTTGTTTCATTAGAGGTAACCAGTGTATGTTAATAACAGGCCAATTGCCTACACATGAACATAAACAGTTCATATGGGCGGCTTATCTGACGGCCCTATTTCACTCGCAAAGAGATACACTGTCAAAAGTGAGAATGGGTTGCCAGGAAACGAAACATATGCCCACAGCAGCTAAATCGTCCGAGCAGTCGACAAGGGTTGTCGCTTATTTATTCCTTTGTAGGCAATTGGGGGCCTTTACAAGACAGTTCCATACAGATCAGATTATAATTTGTAGGTTCACAAGGTTCTACAAACTGAAACAAGGGTCTCAACTCTGGTAGTAATCTATCGAAATTGTTAAAATTTGACAGGCTTTTTCGTTTTACTAATTTAAATAATGCATATAAATTTCATACAGATCAGCTGATGATCACTTTTGTCATTCAAACGTTCACAAGGGTCATAACTCCCATAACTCTAGAAATTATTGACAGAAATTGCAGAAATTCAATAGACCTCTGTTTCACAAATTTAAATGATGCATATAAATTCCATACATATCGGATGATAACTTTCATCAATCGAGCATTAACAAGGTTGAACAAAGTAATAAATGGAAATTGTTGAAATTCAATAGGATTCTTCTCTTTACTAATTTAAATGACACATGCAAATTTCATCCAGATTGGCAGATAACTTTTGATGTTAGAGCATTTACAAGGTTCAATAAAGTGGAACAAGGGCTTAACTCTAGACGTAATAAACGAAAATTGCTGAAATTCAATAGGCTTCTTCATTTCACTAATTTAAATAATGCATATAAATTTCAGAAAGATCAGATGATAACTGTTGGTGTTAGGGCATACACAAGGTTCAATAAAGTGAAACAAGGGCCATAACTCTAGACATAATAAACTGAAATTATTGAAATTAAAAAGGCTTCTTCATTTCACTAATTTAAATCATGCATATAAATTTCACAAAGATTGGGTGATAACTTTTGGCGTTAGAGCGTTCAAAAGGTTCAATAAAGTGAAACAAGGGCCATAACCCTAGACGTAATAAACGTAAATGGCTGAAATTCAATAGGCTTTTTTGTTTCACTCATTCAAATAATGCATATAAATTTCAGAAAGATAGGACGATAACTTTTGGCGTTAGAGCGTTCACAAGGTTAAACAAAGTGAAACAAGGGCCATAACTCTAGAAGTAATAAACGGAAATTATTGAAATTAAATAAGCTTCTTCATCTCACTGATGCAAACATATATCAATTTTAAAACAACTGGATGATAACTTTTGGCGTTAGAGCGTTCACAAGGGCTTAACTCTAGACGTAATAAACGGAAATTGCTGAAATTCAATAGGCTCCTTTTCGTTTCCCTTATTTAAATATTGCATTTAAATTTCACAAAGATCAGATGTTAACTTTTGGCATTAGAGTGTTCACAAGGTTCATCAAAGTGAAACAAGGGCTATAACTCTAGCTGTAATAAATTATTGAAATTAAATAAGCTTCTTCATCTCACTAATGCAAACATATATCAATTTTAAAACAACTAGATGATAACTTTTGGTGTTAGAGCGTTCACAAGAAATTGTGGACGATGGACGGACGGATCGACAGGGGCGATGGCAACATACGCCCACATTTCTATGTGGGCGTATAAAAATGGACATTTTTGATTTTTGTCTTAATAATGAGTAATTGCTCCACCAATCCTCAGACATTCAGCAATTTGTCGTGGCATGCTCCTAATCAACCGTCCAATCACGATTTGAGGCAATCCTTTTGCAGTGCCACTGCTAATTCTTGCAGTGTTATGGGTTGATGTTGACGTCGACAAAGACGTCTCCCGATCATGTCCCAGACATGGTCTATATATTCCTCCCCACACTATAACAGACCCACACCGAATCTGTCATGCTGTCTGACGTTAACGTTAGCATGACGCTCATTTATACACCTCTAAATGCGAGCACGCCTATCGGTGAAATCCAGAGAAAATCTGGACTCATCTGAACATTATAGCGCCCATCGACGATTACCCCAATTTCTACGCTGCCTACACCATTGACGTCTGTTTGCCATGTGCTGGCGAGTTAATGGAAGCACAACATATGCCGTTCGCCCTCAATTTCGCAGAACCTGTGTACGAATGTATCGATCCTGGGCTTGTGTAATCGCTCTATGACGACCTGAACGAGGTCTATCATCAACATTGTGTGTTTGTTGGTACCGGTTCCACAGTCTGCTGATCACAGACTGGGACACATTAAGCATTTTGACTACTGCTCGCTGTGTAGAACCCATTTGAAGCATGTAGACGTTCATCATGTTGAAGACGTCTCATTGCAAATTAAACGTAACACACTAAAGCAAAGATACGCTAAACAGTAAATCTTATGAAAGAACCGATAGGAAAGCAAACATGGATAGGATAAACCAGCACACAACAGTTTTCATCAACCCTTCCTTGAAGTGTCAAATTTGACAATGAACCCCTCCCACGTGTATGGCGCTATTGCGTGTCGCAAGTGCAGCTCAGTGGTTCTGTTGGGGCGATAAGTTCTTCATTTGTGAACATACTCTCAAAGCATGTCAAGTGTCCATGACTATTTATCATATCACAACCTGCATAGGTATTTGCATTTCAATATCCCCTACTTTTTTTGAAGAGTATATATGAAATGTCATCTGTAATCTTAACTTTTAATTTTGAAATAAAATGTGCAAAGTACACATCAATCTTTCAACAATTCTTAGTCACATGGATTTGCATACAAGTAAAATACAAACATATGCAGATGAATTTATATAAGCTTCGGCTTGTTTTCAAATTCATTATATCAGCACATTGTATATATACATGTACTTGTCATACTCTAAATAATTGTTTAAACAAATTAAATATAAAATATATAAATTAATATCTATAAGTTTATATAACAAGCAAGAATACCATATTAGCATTGCTGATAGCTAATACATAACAAATACATTAAAACAAACCAATATTAAAATTAATCACATCCACAGCAAACATGAAGCATATTATTATAGACATTTATTTAAAATAAACAAACAAAAATTTGTCTTCATGTAATTAATTTTTTCTTCTTCTGAATTATGTTCTCTTACCTTCAACAACTCATTCTGTAAGGACAGTATTTCAATAATAAATTACACAACAAACTGTTTTTACAATTTAAAGATACTTTCTCGCGAAAGTATTTAAAGGGTAGTTATTATCAATAAAAGTATGGCAAATTTGGTATAAATGGAAAGTAGAGACTAATCTTACTAGAAAAATACCAGATTCCCTGAAAAACATCCATGAGGCGAGCAATGGGCAAAAATTGTCAGGGTATCACTAACTGGCAACCCAATGGCTTATTGCCTGCCAGCTTGAAGTTGGCAGAAGATAATCCAAGAATTTACTTAGGCTTCAATATGTATGGCAAATGGACAGTAAGTAACGACAAATACATTCTGAATATGGACCCTCCCTCAATCAAGTTACATGACAAACATGGCTTCTAAAAAAAGATTTTTTTATATCTTAGGTATTTGCTTGTGATTGCAATGTTTTGAGAGGGATTTGAAGCAAATTTTTGATAGATTAAACATGCATTATGCAAGAGCAAAATCTGCTTATTACAAGTCTTTCTTTAGGCCTGAAATGTTATCTAAATTATCAATTAGACATTAATTAACTTATCCAGACCATAATAAACTCTTGATGTCAAGGCTAGCCTTCGATGTTGGCTGGATTAGATTCCTATATATGGCGCTTAACGGCCATTGATAATTAAATCAAAACAGTGGATAATCGAGACTATGCTGTTTATATTAATGATTTTAGTAATGATGACCGAGACTATGCGAAAATTTCACCCGCTTCGTTCTCGGCTCATGGTGGATCAATTTGACTAAAATTTTCAGCAAATTACCTTTACACTATCTAGAATTTAACTATTATAGCGAGAACTGCCATCTCTTTATCTTATCTCCTATAATGTATTTTTAATTAGTTTGAATATGTTTTTAGTCCAAATATATCATCAAATCACCCAGTTTGTGCGCGGGAAGGCATCTTTAAACTAAATTTTTTCTGTATTTACTCATCATTCCAGTAATATTAGAATTATGTGGTTTAATCAATAGGGTTTAACATCCTACTTTTCTTCCCCAACTAGGCTAATGAAGACATAAGTTCAGTTAAAATTTATGAACTGAAAAATGTTTGAAATTTATCTACACTCAATAAGAATAAAGTCACCCCAAATCTATATAATTTGTGTATGGGCACATAATTTAGAGATCAAACCATACTGAAGCACCTGTCCAAGTTAAAAAAAATTGAATACAAATCTGAAACTTTCACAAAAAACCTTGTCCCAAGGGTTGCTGAAATTGTTGACAACACAAAACTATTCTATTTGATACACATTTACATATCAATATGCCACAGAAGATCACACAAAGCATTCTATACATATATATATATATTATAATAAAATACTCAATAGCTCAAGCAAGTTCAATATATAAAAGGTGAACTTACAATTAACATTATAACCATGGTGTTTTTAAGTTGTACTGCTAGATGTGAAAATATTGTAGCTACAACTGTTGCCATATCATCTTTATTTCTTTCACGTATCTGATACACACATTTATCATAATGACCTAAAATAGCAGACACATTAAATATAAACCTTCTTAGTACTTCCTGTAAATTATGCTTCATGGTCAAGATATAAAATACCAAACAATGGGTATATTATTAGGGATGTGGTTATAACGGCCCTATGCCATAATGGCCAAAAACAGGTTTGGTCAAAACGGCCATACTTTAGTCATAACGGCCAAACAGTTTGGTCATAACGGCCAATAAATTTGGTCACAATAGCCCAAAAATTTAGTCGTAAGGGCCAAACATTTTTAATTTAATGAAAAACAATATATTTAAATAAAACATCGATGTGGTGCTACAGTTATACACACCATGTGTCCTGGAGGCATAACAACCCAATTCAACCCGGAAAATTACATGCTGTAAAGTGTAATTGTAATTCAATTGAAAGAGGTGAGTACTAATTAATCAATTGATTAGATAATCCCTAATTAGGTACTTCACACCCTCTGATCTGATTAGGTGATTTTTTTTATTAACTAAAGGTAAAAGAAATGCCCATCTGCAATCCATTCAGAGAAAATCCAGATAACCTAATCAGAGCAGCTAACAGAATAAGAGAAAAAAAACATGTATTGTGTTAGAAAATTTCTAAGTTATTTATTGTGATGAAAGTTATAATTACAAATTACAATATCGTGTTACAATATTACAAAATTTGTTATATTACAAAATATATTTTAGGTTTTAATTAAGCTATATTTACAAATATATTTTAGGTTAAGCTATATTTACAAATTTATTTTATAGGTAAATGAAGATGCAATACCACCTACCTTGTTGAAACTGCAACTCCACCTTCAGATATTGTCTGAGTAAATCTTGTACGACTGACTTCATGTGTCCACGTATACCACTTCTATATCGTTGTACTAATTGTACTATACCCTGAGTTGTCATAAAGAATACATCACGTTCGGCTCGTCTAGTTAAAGTAGCAGCATAGCTATCAATAACATTAGCTATCTGAAAATATAAAAATATGTTTAAATACAAATATGTATAAATGCGCAAATACACAAATGGTAAATGCATTTCGGATACCGTTTGTAAGTATCAAAATTTATTGTTATGATTTTTCGCTATATATACAAAAGAAAATGAACAAGCCAACAGTGAGGCTGATGCCCCCTGCCGAAATCTCAAAATAAATAGATGACACATTAATTAATCGCGCATTTATTTTTTTCAAAAGTATTGAGCAATCAAACTATACACAAAGTTTCATCACTCTCTATCAGATAGAATTAAAGTTACCTTGTCCCAAAGCATCGACCAATGAAATTGCTTAGCTCTGCTTAGCTTTAGCTCGAAATGTTAAGCATTGAACTCAGTCAAGACATTCACCTAATGAACATCTACATCAAGTTTAAACATTCTATCTCAATTAAAAGCAGAGTTGTTATGTTCCAAAGTCTTGACCAATCAAATTGCTCGTTGCTCCTTAGCCTAAGCAGAAAATTCTCATCATCGAACGTAGTCAAAAATAGAGAGAGAGAGATGGGGTTTAACGTCCACTCCACACAAACTAGGTCATTTAGGGACTAACATATGGTTTAATTCTATTTCAATAATTCGCTTGCGCATAGAGGTCTTTTAGCAGTGGGACGAAACCTGAGGACACTCATGAGGCTGGAGAACGTAGTCAAGGTAATGATAAAATGAATCTATACTCGGAGTTTCATCACTCTCACTTAATTAAAACTAAAGTTATCGTGCCCCAAAGAATCAACCAATCAGATTTCTTATCTCTGCTTACCCTAAGCAGAAAAAGCTCCATCAAGGCATTGACCTAATGAACGCCCACACCAAGTTTGAACATTCTACCTCAATTAGAAGTAGAGTTATTGACCTAATGAAAGCCTACACCAAGTTTGAATGTTCTACCTCAATTAGAAGGAGAGTTATTGTGTTCAGAAGTCTCGACAAATCAAATTGCTTATTATCGAACTTAGTCAAGGTATTGATGTAATGAAACTATACACCATGTTTCACCACTTTGACTTAATTAGAACTAAAGTTATCGTGTCCCAAAGCATCAACTAATCAAATTGCTTATCTCTGCTTACCCAAAGCAGAAAAGCTCTTCTTCTAAGTTCATCAAGGCATTCACAGCTCAAATAGAAGGAGAGTTATTGTGTTCCAAATTCTCGGCCAATCAAATTGCTTATCGCTCTGCTTACCCCGAACATAAAATGCTCATTATCGAACTTAGTCGAGGTATTGATGTAATGAAACTATACACCAAGTTTCATCACTCTCACTTAATTAGAACTAAAGTTATCATGTCCCAAAGCATCAACCAATCAAATTGCTTATCTCTGGTTACCCATCTTCGAACTCCATCAAGGCATCGACCTAAAAAAACACCTACACCAAGTTTGAACATTCTTGCTGAATTAGAAAGAGTTATTGTGTCCCAAAAAGTGTGACGGACAGACGGACGGATGGACGGACAGACGGATGAACCCATTTTAATAGTCCCCTGCTTTCTTCGATAGGCGGGGGATATGAATTTCATAATAAGTTCTACAGGGCTATGATGCACTCACTGTATGCTAAATACATAACAAGATCAAGACACACAAATATAACCAATATTTTTTTTACATGTTTACATGAATAACCAGTGGCTGCCAGGCAGGATAAGCCCATATTTTGCAAGAGATGGATAGAGAACAAGCTAAAAATAAACAGGATTTTTTGTACAATCAGGGGCAATAATCCAGAAAGTTATGGCCTGAAATGTTCAAATATCAAAAGGGACAGAGATATTTGGGATATAAAGGTATGTTTTAAGTTTCATCAAAATCGGATAAAATTGTGACCACTAGAGGGTCCACAGCCTTCGTATTACACACTTTTACACAATTTGCGTACAAAGAGCAGGCATTTTGTTAGGCAGTTTCATTTCGATTTTCCCGAAATACAATTCAACCTTCAGTATGGTGGAATGATGATGTATTTAAACATTTTTTTAAATCGGAAAAAAACTGTGACTTCTAGAGAATCCGCAAGCTAAAAATGCGATTTTTCGAACAATCAGGGGCCATAATCCAGGAAGTTAAGTTAACGAACCAAGATTTTAGTGTGTAATGGTGATATATTCATCCGTTTTTTTTTTAAATCAAATAAAAATCGTGACCTCTACAGGGATCACAAGCTATTAACGTGATTTTTTGTTCAAACAAGGGCCATAATTCAGGAAGTTACGATCCGATATGCTCCAATATCGAAAGGAACCAATATCTTTGGGTTATAAACATGTATTTCAAGTTTCTAGCGGGTCCACAACCTTGATTTACCAGATGTTTAAACTATTTGCGAACAAGGGGCGGCCATTTTGTCCAGCAGTTTTGGCCTGATTTTGGCGAAATTTGAACTCAACAAACATTACGATGTAACGGTGATATATTCAAACATTTTTTTAAATCGAATAACAATTGTGACCTCTAGAGGGACCACAAGCTGAAAACGCGATTTTGTGTACAGAGGCCATAATTCAGGAAGTTACGATCAGATATGCGCGAATATTGCAAGGAACCGAGATATTTGGCTTATAAACTTGTGTTTCAAGTTTCATCAAAATTGTATAAAAATTGTGGCCTCTAGAGGGCCCACAACTTTGATTTACCAGATGTTTACACTTTTTGCATATGAGGGGCGGCCATTTGGAACTCAACCATCCTTAGGTTGTAACAGTGATATATTCAAACGTTTTTTTTAAATCAGATAGAAATTGTGACCTCTATGGGATCCACAAGCTAAAAACGCGATTTTTCGTACAATCAGGGGCCATAATTCAGGAATTTATGGTCTGATATGTGCAAATATCGAAAGAAAGCAAGATCTGTGGGTTATAAAGATGCTTTTCAAGTTTCATCAAAATCAGATGAAAATTGTAACCTCCAGAGAGTCGCCAACCCTGATACACAATATTTTGACACTATTTGTGAACGAGGGGCGGCCATTTTGTCCGTCAGTTTCGGTCAAATTTCTACAAAATTCGATATCAACCATCCTTAGGGTGTAACAGTGATATATTCAAACGGTTTTTTAAATCAGATAGAAATTTAAACCTCTATGAGATCCACAAGCTAAAAACGCAATTTGTTGTACAATCAGGGGCCATAATTCAGGAAGTTATGGTCTGATATGTGCGAATATCAAAAGATCTGTGGGTTATAAAGATGCTTTTCAAGTTTCATCAAAATCAGATGAAAATTGTAACCTCCAGAGAGTCGCCAACCCTGATACACAATATTTTGACACTATTTGCGAACAAGGGGCGGCCATTTTGTCCGTCAGTTTCGGTCCAATTTTTACGAAATTCGAATTCAACCATCCTTAGGGTGTAACGCTGATATATTCAAACAGTTTTTTACATCTGATAGAAATTGTGACCTCTATGGGATCCACAAGCTAAAAACACGAATTTTCGTACAATCAGGGGCCATAATTCAGGAAGTTATTGTCTGATATGCGCGAATATCGAAATAAAGCGAGATCTGTGGGTTATGAAGATGAATTTTAAGTTTCCTCAAAATCAGATGAAAATTGTAACCTCCAGAGAGTCGCCAACCCTGATACACAATATTTTGACATTATTTGCGAACGAGGGGCGGCCATTTTGTCGGTCAGTTTCGGTCCGAAATTCGAACTCAACCATCCTTAGGGTGTAACGGTGATATATTGTAACGTTTTTTTAAATCAGATAAAAATTGTGACCTCTATGAGGTCCATTAGCTAAAAACGCAACTTTTTGTACAATCAGGGGCCATAATTCAGGAAGTTATGGTCCGATATGGGCGATAAACCAAATCGGATAAAAATTGTGACCTCTACAGTGTTCACAAGCTAAAAACGTGATTTTTCTTACAATCAAGGGCCATAATCCATGAAGTTACAATCCGATACATGCCAATATCGAAAGGAACCGAGATCTTAGGGTGATAAACCTATATTTCAAGTTTCAATGAAATCGGATAAAAATTGTGACCTGTAGAGTATTCACAAACAATTGGCGACGACAATATACGTCCACATAAAAGTGTGGGAGTATAAAAACAAAATATCACAAAATACATATAATGCATCCCAAATAATCTAATCTTATATAGCTCTGGTGTTTATCTTATTTACATATATTTATCCTCTCATAATTTCCTAAAACCATTAAATTCTTGTATGAGATTCTCACTGCAATGTAACAATTGAAATTTACCTGTTGACTAGGAAACTGACATAAAACTGATGTAATATTACTGGCATAAGAAGACATCAGTTTACGTATAGACCTCTCCACTTTAACTGGAACTCGACCAGAGATCATGGATATTAATTCCTGAAAATCAAAAACATTCTGAATGTAAATTTGCCAATGTTAACTTAATAGTTTCGTTAAGTATATTTACATAATTGAAAAATATTCAGGGCTAAAAATCAGGTCACATAATTTATCAGAGAGTTACATGACAGGAGTTGTATAGTTTAACTGCTGGTGATGAAAGCATGGCATGGAAGCAATCAAACAGTTCAGCTAAATATTTGGGAGACTAAATAATGGGGTATATGAGCAACTGGAGCCAGAGAGTGACATAGGTTTCATAGCTGTACTTTCGGTTCAGGGCTGTATACAATAAAAGATAAAAGAACATGAGTTTACCTGAAGTTCTAACAGAGGTAGTGAAGGGTCTTTGAGACATTTCATCATAGTTTCTACAGTAGCTGATAAACGTTCTTTAAAATAAGGTTCTGGTATGATATATCCTGAGAGTATATTTTCTAGTAAAGTTCTAGCACTCTGAAATACTTGATGTAATTTATCACCATGTGTTGATGGACTGCTAGATACAGGTAATTTATCATTAAATGGTTCAGCCTAAAAATGAATACCAAAAACAAGTTAGATACAGATTAACCTGTACAGTGTATCTATAAAGAATACTGTTATTATTCATTGCATATAAAGTATATGTTGATGTTTGCTAGTGTAGCAGTCTCTGTCGTGTGTTTGTTGGTTTTTATACAAAGGCAACAATAAATAACTATAAACAATAAATAATTTTGTATGTCTTAAGAGATACAACTCCTTTGATCTTGATGAGCAATGTAATTATTGAATTCTTAATATACAATGCACTGATCTTTGCTTTGCAGGATGGATGTGAATAAGTTTGTATACAATGAGAGAATGTAGAGTACCTGTTGAACACGACTAGGATCATCTAGTTTAAGATGTGCTACAACACTACCTGGTTCTAACACAGCTCCAGGTCTTTTAACATAATGAACACTGTAATTAAATCAAAATCTTTAAATCAAAGATGCATTATGTAAGATTTCAATAAAGAGCTGACCGTTCTCGCAATAATAGTTAGAACCTAGATAATGGAAAGGGAATATATTGAAAATTTGAGTCAAATTACTTCATTCTGAGCGACATTGGGGCTGTTTGGAGAATAGCGGAGTCTCGATTGTCATTGCTACTGATGTTACAATAGTTCATACAAAATATACTTAGATGGGGCAATAATTCAGACCTTTTTTAAGAGGGGAACCGACTAGAGGAATGCACATTAAAATATAGAATTTTGTATTAATGAATATATGATGAGTTTTTTTCAAAACAAACACCATTACCTGAGTTTATTGTGCTCTTAAAATATTGATTTGTATAAGAAAGAGAATTACTTACCAGCCACTTTCTGTGACAGTCAATTCCATGACCATCTTCATAACTTCTATTTCAGCAAATACATCACCAGCAAAAACATGGCCACCATCATCAACTAAATAATTGATCAATTTACCAGCTGAAGAAGATCTGAAAACAATATAAAATACACAAGCTTTTAACTTTAAAATGGGATGTATCAATTTGAACAAGCCAACAGTGAGGCTGATGTCCCCCGCCGAAATCCCCAAATAAATAGATGACACATATTAATTAATCGCACATATATTTTTTTCAAAAGTATCGAACAATCAAACTGATTATCAACTATACACGAAGTTTCATCACTCTCTATCAGATAGAATCAAAGTTATCTTGTCCCAAAGCATCGACCAAGGAAATTGTTTATCTTTGCTTAGCTTTAGCTCGATATGTTAATCATTGAACTCGGTCAAGGCGAACATCTACATCAAGTTTAAACATTCTACCTCAATTAGAAGCCGAGTTGTTATGTTCCAAAGTCTTGCCCAATCAAAATGCTTATTGCTCCTTAGCCTAAGCAGACAATTTTCATCATCTAACTGAGTCAAGGTATTGATGTAATGAAAATATACACCAAGTTTCATCACTCTCACTTAATTAGAACTAAAGTTATCGTGTCCCAAAGCATCAATCAATCAAATTGCTTATCTCTGCTTACCCTAAGCAGAAAATGCTCATCTTCGACCTCCATCAAGGCATTGACCTAATAAACACCTACACCAAGTTTGAACATTCTAGGTCAATTTGGAGAGTTATTGTGTCCCAAAAAGTGTGACCGACAGACGAACCCATTTTAATAGTCCCTTGCTTTCTTCGAAAGGCGGGGGACAATAAAAAATTATCTACTTAATTAGAACTAAAGTTATAGTGTCCCAAAGCATCAACCAATCAAATTGTTTATCTCTGCTTACCCTAAGCGGAACGGACAGACAAACAGACAGACGGACGAACCCATTTTAATAGTTCCCTGCTTTCTTCGAAAGGCGGGGGACAATAAGCATGAACATTTACTCAATTCGAAGATCAACCAATCAAATTGTTTATCTCTGCTTACCATAAGCGGAACGGACAGACAGACAAACAGACAGACGGACGAACCCATTTTAATAGTTCCCTGCTTTCTTTGAAAGGCGGGGGACAATCAAAGTAGGAGAGTTATTGTTTTCCAAAGTCTCGACCAATCAAATTGCGTATCGCTCTGCTTACCCTGAGCAGAAAATGTTCATTATCAAACTTAGTCAAGGTATTACTGTAATGAAACTATACACCAAGTTTCATCAATCTCACTTAATTAACTAAAGTTATCGTGTCCCAAAGCATCAACCAATCAAATTGCTTATCTCTGCTTACCCTAAGCGGAAAATGCTCATCTTCGAACTCCATCAAGGCATTGACCTAATCAACACATACACCAAGTTTGAACATTCTAGCTCAATTAGGAAGAGAGTTATCGTGCCCCAAAGTATCAACCAATCATATTGCTTATCTCTGCTTACCCTAAGCGGAAAATGCTCATCTTCGAACTCCATCAAGGCATTGACCTAATAAACACATACACCAAGTTTGAACATTCTAGCTCAATTAAAAGTTATCGTGTCCCAAAGCATCAACCAATCAAATTGCTTATCTCTGCTTACCCTAAGCGGAAAATGCTCATCTTCGAACTCCATCAAGGCATTGACCTAATCAACACATACACCAAGTTTGAACATTCTAGCCCAATTAGGAAGAGAGTTATCGTGTCCCAAAGCATCAACCAATCAAATTGCTTATCTCTGCTTACCCTAAGCGGAAAATGCTCATCTTCGAACTCCATCAAGGCATTGACCTAATAAACACATACAACAAGTTTGAACATTCTAGCTCAATTAGGAAGAGAGTTATTGTGTCCCAAAAAGTGTGACGGACAGACAGACGGACGAACCCATTTTAATAGTCCCCTGCTTTCTTCGAAAGGCGGAGGACAATAATTTTTGGAAGTACTTTGGGTTTTGTACTATTAAACTCTATACTTGAATGTTAAGTTTGAGCAGGAAATTATAGTCTAGTTTATATTCACAAAGGATTATGAAGAAAATTAGCAATTTCTGGTAAAGGGTTTGCACCAACATATTTATTGTATTTGAGAAAGTTATCTTTTCTGTTTCTGCATACACTTGCAATGCAATATTGATTATATGTTTTGGGTGATAAACTGGTACTTGAATCAGAATTTCTTTCTTTACCATTCAAGGTGTTTCATGTTAGCACTTTTTATCTTGGTGTTCAGAGTTTAAACATTATATTATTCATATAGTGCAACATTGGAGATTGGATTTCAAACCTTATTAGGAAGAAAATGAACAGGGAATTTGAACTTGTTTCTATTAAACATCGCCCACACAATATAGTCAAATCTTTCAGACATGTACTGAAAATTCATAAAAAATAGCAGATAGGGCTGGTCAATCATCAGGAATTTCAATTATTTAATTTTTTTGTTAGAATATATTTTGAAGAAGAGATAAAGAAATGGGTTCTACTGTTGACGGGTTGTCCAATTTCATACCTTAATATAGTTGGATCATTTTCTTTATAAAGAACACAGGTTTTATTGCCTATAGTAATTCTATATGAGCTAATTTGTTCTTTCATGTATGTTGTATAACTAGAACCATCAATAGATAGTAACAATCCTCCATCTGTTAATCTGTAAAACATTTCATTTTCATAATATCAACAATCTGAAAGTCAAGTATAATAAATTATAGAGTTTGAAAAGTATTGCTGACTTCAGCGAAAAGTTTAACCTCTAGCTGGCCGAGCATTCCTAGGCTAAATAATGTATTCCTGAACAGAACTTATTTAACTATGTTACAATCCAAAATATATAACTTTATCATAGAAATTATTACCTATGAGCCTCAACATCCATATGGGAGTTATTGATACACAAAAAATATCCATTTGGTCCTGTTTTTATAACCTTTAAAATAGAAATATCAGATATTAATACCAATATCTAAAATATGATTTTCAATATCATGGATAATTTGTTGAAATTATTTATTTAAATATTCTTCATACCTGGCAAATAGAAGTAATTTATACATTTCAGTACATGTCAAATGAGAGAGAGAGAAGAGAGAGAGAGAAGAGAGAGAGAGATTTAACCTCCACTCGACACAAACTAGATCATTTTTGGACTAACACAATTTTATTTTAATAATTTGCTTGCGTGTAGGGGTATTTAGCAGTGGGAGGAAACCAGATGACCAAGAGAAAACCCACGAGGTTGGACAGGCGACCAGCGGCCCTACTTATTATCACGTACAACAGGGGAATCGAAACCACGCCAGTTGAATCAATGACAGATCTTGTGATACAACGTGCACGCTCTAACCATTCGGCCATCCAACATCCCATGCACTGAACAAATTTCTAGCTTAGTTATCAACACAATCTGATTAAAACACAGATCCTATTTCGTTTCGTTTTTTATAGTTCAAAGTTTTGTTTTATTTGTCTTTACTACACTAGGATCTGGAAGAGTTGTTATATTACCAGTATTTTGGTTGAAGTGAGGTATAAGCCAATGAAACAGTCTGATACAGCAACTTCTTGGCGTGCCATGCATGGAACTGTGGGAAAACCACGAGAAACGTCAGTGCTGATTGATTAATCAATGACTGACGTCATTGGGACAAAAGCTGCTCGTACAGCCCCTGACACGACCTTCTAGTACAACTTGTCAGATCTTCATGTAGTGTAGGCCATCGAAAGTATAAAAAAACAAAACGAAATATAGATCTGTATTTTAATCAGATTGTTATCAACATAATCTTACCTCCATACAGTATTTCATTCCTTCATAAATAAATTCAACACTGACATTATTCTTCAAGGAGAAAGACGGAAGAATCTGACCTCTAAATAAAATAACAATCAAGTTTTAGAATATAATGCAACCAAATGATAAAGTAAAACACACACCAATTGGATAAAACATTTAGCCACCTCACAAAAATATGGTTTTCAGAAAAAAAAAAAAAAAAAAAATATCTGATGCTCAAGGATGGTTTCAATTTTTTCAAAGGATTATGAATGACTGTTTGGTACCTTTGGTAACTAACTATTTGGTTCCCTACTACACAAGATATGTTAACTATTTGGTACATAACTATACGACATGTTATCAATTTTATTTCATTAATTTGCTTGCCCGTGGGGTCTTTACACTGTAAATCAGGTATCATTTAATCTTGTGTATCTAGCATTAATTTCTTTCACATTCGTTGAATATCAAATCTTTGTTTAAAAATTTGTAAAAATCATTTAAAATCACCCAAAATCATCTAATTTGTACTTGTGTCCAGTTTAAAGCTGACTGATTAATTTTGATAATGAGTGTCCAATTTACAAATTTTTAAACAAAAATTGGATATTAAACGAATGTGAAAGAAATTAGTGCTAGATACACATGTACAAGATTAAATGATACCTGGTTTACAGTGTTAGCAGTGGGAGTAATCCGGAGGCCCCGAGAAAACCCACGAGGTTGGGAAGGCGACCCTACTTTGTCACGTACAAGCGGGGAATCGAAACTACACCACTTGACTCAAAGACAGACCTTATGTTGCAACGCATAGCGTTAACAATTCAGCCACCCAACCCCCCTCTATACAAGATATGTAAACTAACTTTTTGGTACCTAACTAGTAGTAACTACACTACATATGTTAACTATTGTCTTGGTTTATTTTGCATCAATTTCTACCTAGAAAGTCTCCCCAGTTATAAATTTTAATATATGTACCGGGTACATCATTGAAACATTCTCCATTTATAATCAATGAATCATTTCATAACAGGGTTTACAGAGAATTCATTTTTGAGTTTAAAACCTACTTTTCAAGTGAAGTTTGGAAATCTGTAAAATTACTACGTATTTTTTTATCAGCAATGTGTAAAGCTCCACATATGACACCTAGTATTGTATCAGGTTTTTCAGCTTGTACTTTCTCAGCTATAAGTTTATCTAACCAAGCTGTTGTTATATAATTCTGTTGATACGCTTCAGTTTCTAATAGTTTTATAAGATATTCTACAGTGGTTCGAAAATCACCACGGATTGACAGTTCCTTCAAAGCAACAACCAGGTTCCTGAAACATAACAAAAGATTCACGTACAAATACTATTCTTTACATCATACATAATTTTCATGCTATATCAATTACAGGTGGGAAGACTGGAATACCATGAAGGGATAAAGTGTCTAATTCACAAGGATTTGACAATCAGCTAGTGTGAGGATTGAACATGCATATGTACGATTACAGATCTAGTTGCACCGAAACACTACGACCGAGTGATCCATATATTTCAATAAATCTATCACAACTTACTCTCTAGCATCTTCTCTATCCTCTCCCCAGGAAAAACAATGTCCAAACTGTGAATCAGCAAATTCATGTAAACCACCTGATGCAGCCACACTAAAATATCCCCATACATTCTTATTACTTCTGAAGTTCAATTCTTGTACTGTACCAGAACTTGGTTTAAATCCCTACAAAAAAATTTAATCAGAACTTCAATAATAAACAAAATGTTTGGTAATAAGTGTATCTACTTACGGTCTTACCCTGTACAAAAGTTATCATCAAAAGAATTGATTAATGTAAACTTTACAGTAATTTCATCAGTCACAATTAAACATATTGCCTGGATAATCAAGGCAATATTTACACAATTAAAATAGGCTAAACTTGTTCATCAAATGCAATTGATTTTCGGTTATAATAAGGCACTTACAAAATGTTCATTTGCGAGAATGGGTATTTAGTTGAAGTCTGACACAAACACATATTTAATTACATAGGTGTAATATTTGGCAGTATCCCTTTAATATGAATACGTTATTGTAAACAGACTGAAAACAGTTCAAAGGCATCTTCTTTGATTGGCATTTAGTAACTGAACATATTAACACAAGGTACAATTTTATGGATACACATTTGCTTGATAAAGACGAGAGTATCCTCGTCGAAACGTCGCTTAGTATTAAACTCAGTTCTAAGACAGGTTATATATCTCCAAATAATGTTAATATTTACCTCATCTGGGTTTTCACTTGTTATTCTAGCTGCTATTACATGCCCTTTAGGTACAGGTTCAACTTGTGGTGAGTCAAAATCTATCTTATTTTCACCCCATGGTTCTTCACCATATAAACAACGGATATCTTTAATTCTGTATAATGGTATACCCATGGCAATCTGTAAGTAATCAATAGGAACAGCTTCATTTAAACTTTTCCATCTCTGTTAATCATGTTTTGGAGATCTTCATGGCAAATATTTACAAAATTGGTAAAAACATTATTTGTTGAATTTGTCAAGAATTTCTAATTGGAAATCGAACAGTGCTATTTGCTCTCAATTTGAAATCAGTCATGCTTAACAATGAGCCAAGTATATCCAGACAATCTTATACGATATATTACAGAGTCAGGAAAAGGACCCAATCAGATGAAAACACAGATTCTATTTCTTTTGTTTTTTATAGTTCAAAATTCCGTTTTGTGTTCACTACACCAGGATCTTGAAGAGTTGTTAAATAACCAGTGTTCTGTGGGATATGTGGCATTTGCCAATCAAATAGTTTTGTTCACTCAAGTTCTTATCATGCAGTGCGCAGAACTGTGGGTAAACATTTGCAGCAAGAGAAAACAAAACAAAGCAAAATCAATTGACTGTCGTCATAGGGTCAAAGTCGCCCACATGACCCATAACGCGACCTCTAACTACAAACAGAACGAAATATAGATCTGTATTTTAATCCGGTTGAAAATTCAAAATCTTGTGAGATTGGCCAATATATTAATAGTCTTATACAAATCATTCTGTTGATTAATATATCACATTCTCATGTATTTGTGCACCATTCCGAGATAAAAACCCTATTGATTCCAAATTGTTGCAACTGTTTCACACCACTATTGCTGATAATTAACCAAGGTTTGTGTTTAAATAGTATATAAGAGAAATTCACAGTTTGTATGGAGGTTGACTATAAACGTACCTGAAGTTGTGCAGATGGTAAATTGACATCTGCTATCATTTCAGTACACGGATGTTCTACTTGTAACCTAGGGTTTAACTCCAGGAAATGGAAGTTATCTTCATCAGCATTATATAAATATTCTACAGTACCAGCACTCACATATCCTACCATCTTAGCTAAGGTTACAGCCGACTTTAATAGAAAATATAATCAAACAAGTGCTTTTTATTTTCTTTCTACACATCAACAAAATCTGCAAAATCGGCCTTAATAAAGAAATTGAAACCATTGGTTCCCAACATGAAACCAATATGATAGATCAAAAAACATAAATGTACCTTTTCCATTTTCTCGAAAACTTCACTTTTGGAAATGATTGCTGGAGCTTCTTCAATGATTTTCTGATGACGACGCTGAATTGAACAGTCACGTCCAAATAAGGAAATAGCATTACCATACATGTCTGCTAGAAGCTGTACTTCAAGATGTCTGGCAGCAGATGCAAGTTTCATTATAAATATTGGAGATCCTTGTACTTCTGCCTGTACCTAAAATCATGAAAAATATTTGTTTATTATTTTTTAAGTTGTATATTTGCCTACTATACCATGTCCTAATATTAACAGAAGAGAACATAGCAGTAAATTAGAAGGTATTATTTTTCTAGAACCATCAACAGAGTTTCAAATGTTTACAGAATGATTTTGGCTTGTTAAAATGATTACACAGTCGTACATTTACAATTCTCCAGACGAAAGTCACACTGCTGTTTATCAGGAACATGAAAAAAGACATGAAAACCATGCCTCCATTAAACAAAACAACAAATAAAATATGATCTTTAAGTGGCATTTAGTGATTGGGGTACACAATAACAGAACACAATTTTTATGGGAAACAATCACTGGTTTTATTCTAATAGCACGACGTTTCGACAAGTATCCTCTTATTGTTATCAAGCTCGAAACGTCGTGCTATTAGAATAAAACCAGTGATTGTTTCCCATAAAAAATGTGTTCTGTTAAATAAAATATGCTAGTGTTCTATGTACCTGTCTGAAAAGATTTGGGAATTCTTCAGAATTTTCAGCTTTTCTAATACCCTTTCCACCACCACCTTCTGATGCCTTGATCATTACAGGAAATCCTATTTTTGTAGCTGATGCTAAACCTTCATCCACAGTTCTAGTACAACCTTTATTATAAATTTCACTGGGCACATTTAACTTTCCCGAGGACTTCTCAGCTTCAGTAAGTTGTAGCTTTAATCCTAAAATATTAGATAATGTCATTGGAAGTGCATTATATGGATTGAAAAGGTTAATAATTATAATTATCTATAAATAATGATGTAGTTGTGAAATGCTCACATACATTCAACAAAATCTTGTAAACAATTTAACGAGGTCTGAGGATGGCAAGTCTCTTTCAGAAAATATGACAGATCACAGAGAAACAACACATGAATAACCTTTTACACTCACAGTGAACCTGCAATTCCAAGAGCAATATAAAATGTCTGTATAATATTGTATATTAGCTTAGTTACCCAACATTGATTTCCTGAACTATAATAACGTGATAATCATTCAATACAGCACCAAATACAAAATAAATAGCACCCTTAAATTTTGTGTAAAAACATGGTTATTATGAAGTAATTTTAAAATTTATAAGTACAACTGTTTGATTTTCTATAGGAAACAAACACAAACAAACAAACATCCTCTTATAATACCTGAACCACTCCATGGCAATGTTGGAACATCTGCTGTTTGTGCTACTATAGATGAAGCTATTTTATCTCCTAATGACCACATAGCATTTTCTGGTGGACCTGATTTTTAAAATGTAGAAGTGGGTTAATCAATCTATTACTACTTAAAGCAAATCCCATTATCAAAAACTATTCTTTTATAACAATCATTTTTAAAGAACTATTCTTTTATAAACAAAAATATAACATAATCAGTTATTTTTAAATATATGTGAAGAGATATATTTTTAAATACATGTGAAGATATGTAAACTTACCAATAAATGAAATGTCATTCTTATGAAGGAGTTCTGGCAGTTTAGGATTTTCAGAAGCATGACCCCATCCTGCCCATACAGCCTGAAATTTAACATTAGATATTCAAATTCACTTCAATTTAAAAATATCCGAATTTTTTTCAAGAATCACACGAAAAACACATAATATCTACCCTCTACAAAAGGAATTGAACTTATCAAGAAAGAATTCTGTGTCAAACTTTAAATATCAGTGGAATAGTACCAATAATAAGTAGAAATCTTACCTGGACTTGTGTTCTTTTAGCAATATCTAATATCCTTTCTACATTAGCATAATTATTATTGTTAGAACCACCTGGAACTGGTACATACTGATCAGCCATCTTAATATATTCTGTAAGAAAACATATAAAACATATAAAAGCACAGTTTAACGATACATTCCCGGGTACAAACTTGGTGATTCTCAAAACATTGCAATTGTCAGGGAACACCGGGCTATAAAAAAATCAATCAAAAGAGGTCATGTTTGTATCACGTGACACAATGGGTGCGAAGTCGGAGGAGACTTCATTGCATACAAAAGACGATGTTGCCTTTATCGCTGACTATTTATTACAAATATAGAAGCCTAATTAAATTCTCGGATTATCCACTGCCCGGGTCTTTTTCCGTGATTTTTAACTCAGAAAGTGTTGTACGTCTAACTCATCAACATGTACATCAAGCGCTCAATCTCTGCATGCAACCTTCGACGTCACGAATGCAGAAACTCCTAATCGTCGGGCTGTCGATTAGGGAAACCCGTACATTTTCGTCCCGTATGCGCCCCATGGGTGTTTTTGAGGGAATCCAGTATTCTTCTAGTAAGACTGGATATTTCTACTTTCCATATATACCAAAATTGCCATACTTTTATTGGAAATAACCACCCGATAAATACTTTTCTGGGAACATAGCTTTAAGACCAAAATATGTGTCTACTTATTATTTATGGTTATATGTATGTAGGCACTATGTTTTTCTGTTCTATATCAATATCAATGCTAACTATTAAGAACTGGGCTCCACGAGGCGGAAGAAACATGCAGGTTCAAACTGATCAACAGTAAATATTCGCTTGGCTGCTACTATCGTTGTGAGAATGACATCTATGTGAGTTAATTAGCTCTCAATTTTAATTTTTTTTCTACTGCAAATTAAATTCTAAAACACTTTTTTTATTGAATTATTAAGAAATAAAAAATAAAGGTGTTGGAAGTATATCTGCATAAAAAAATATTTCCTATTTAATGTCAATGGGTAGGCCTACATAAAATAGTATGCGAAGGTGTGAGTAAACAGCACCAATTCTGCCCAGACCAGTTTTGTGTTACTACGTCCAATGTAAAGAATGCATGTGCTATCAACGCCGTATGATGTGACACGACATATACACCTATACTGCACATGAACTTATAGGTCAGTCATCTTGCTTAAACAGGTTGATGCTGGAAAGCCTCGATTCGAGTCTGGGACATTCAAATCTTAATAATTTACAATCAAGCGATTCCCTCAAAAACATCTTTAAAACATTTTACCGGCATTTGCTTTCAGATCTTCTGGTGTAACCATAACAACAAATCGTATTGCTCTTTCATTGCGAAATATTTCATACGCCCATCGTCTGACAGAGCGCATACATTTAACAGCAGCAATTCCATTATTGGCTACAAGAACCTGAAAAATTTGATAAGAAAAATAAACTTACATTTGATTTAACATATATCACATGTTATAAAAAATATCTTATAAATGTCCACATTTTCCCCACCAAAAATCGAGCTATTCTGATCAAAAAGACTTATATTATGAGCCAGGGGAGTATAGTACTGGTAATTACATGTAGCCGATCATTGGGATATAAAGATATGTTTTGGGATATAAAGATATGTTTTAAGTTTCATCAGAATCGGATAAAAATTGTGACCTCTAGAGGGTCGACAACCTTCGTATAGCATAGTTTTACACAATTTGCGAACAAAGAGCGGCCATTTTGTTGGGCAGTTTCATTTCGATTTGCCCGAAATTCAAATTCAACCTTAATTATGGTGGAAAGGTGAAATATTTAAACAGTGTTTAAAATCGGAAAAAAATATTGTGACCTCTAGAGAATCCGCAAGCTAAAAATGCCATTTTTCGAACAATTAGGGGCCATAATCCAGGAAGTTAAGTTTGGGTATCCGCGATTATAAAAAGGAACCAAGATCTTAGTATGTAATGGTGATATATTAACACGCTTTTTTTTAAATCGTATAAAAATTACCTCTACTTAGACCACAAGCTAAAAATGTGATTTTTTGTTCAATCAAGGGCCATAATTCAGGAAGTTACGATCCGATATGCTCGAATATCGAAAGGAACCAATATCTTTGGGTTATAAACATGTATTTCAAGTTTCATCGAAATCGGATCAAAATTGTGAACTATAGAGGGTCCACAACCTTGATTTACCAGATGTTTACACTATTTGCGTATGAGGGGCGTCCATTTTATCTGGCAGTTTTGGTCAGATTTTCACGAAATTCGAACTCAACAGACATTACGGTGTAACTGTGATATATTCGAACGTTTTTTTTTAAATCAAATAATAATTGTGACATCTAGAGGGTCCAAAAGCTAAAAACGCGATTTTTCGTACAATCGGGGGCCATAATTCAGGAAGATATGATTCGATATGCACGAATATAGAAAGAAACTGAGATCTTTGGGTTATAAACTTACATTTCAAGTTTCATCAAAATCAGAAGAAAATTGTGACCTCTAAGTTATTTATAGTTTACATGAATTATCAACAGCAACCACTGAATAAGTTGGGAATTTTTTTTTTAGCCTGATATTGAGAAACCTACACTTGACACAATATCAGTACCGTGAGAAACCTACACTTGACACAATATCAGTACTGTAATATCTGTATCAGCAGATTTTATGCAGGAATCTGATGTCGGTAAAACCTGTAGCATATCAGCACCCATATACGCCCATAAACAGCAAAGCCGTCCATGTTAAATCTTGAATCATTCAATAAATCCAATAGAGCAAGTTTTAAAAAATCTATTATGATCTCTGTATTAAGTTTTAAAACTTTGTGACCACAAAAATAAATACGCGAAATGCATTCAATAATTGGAAATTCAATGCGCAATCTGTGGAAATCAAAGCCACATTTGTCTATATGTGGGTGTATAGCTACTGGCTTATTATGGGAGAAATGAAATAGGGTTTAATGTCCTATTGTTCTGCTCCGAACTGGGCTAATGAAGACGGGCATATGCCATACAGTGTGCTATGAGGGAAATTTTGCCCGGACAGCTGTCACGTATGACAATATCTTTATTAGATAATGATAGGTTACAATGTGGTTTGTCGTGGATGTACTGAATAATACATATATATTCACGCTGGTATTGCTGAATGTTTCAAGGTCACAAGTATTTGTACATTAATAAATATAGTATATATGTTATTGTTGTTTATTACAGTTTATGACAACTGGTGAACATGTTTTCAGATTGTGGTAATAAAGTTTGATTATAAACAGTTGATTTTATTGTTATTTGTAAGATGTATGATAGTTATTATTTGCCAAGGTTGAGTAATCCACATGTCTGGTTGCAGATATGATTGCATTGAATGCATGTGAACTGCCTGTTTTGTTGTCGTGATTTGATTGGTTGTGAGTGAAACTGTAGTATACGTGGTGGGAGATATGAATTTATATTGTCACTCTAATAATGGATTTTGGGAGAATCACACATATTCATTGGTCATATCATTCATGAATCATTCGTAAAGATATATTTCAACTAAATGGGTGTTAGACTGTGTGTCTCGTTGGTTTTGACTGTGTGTCGTTATAATGGTAATCTGTGTGATTATGAGCAATAATTAGTACATTTACTTGTAAGTATTGTTTGATTTTTGTAATGTTGATAATCGTGGATGAATAGAAATAATTTGATTATTTGTTAAACATTGTGTTATGTTTTATAGGTGACCTGATTGTGATTGTGATTGTGATTCTGATAATGTTAATGTGCTACGGATAGTGTTACCTATATTGTTAGTCTGGTCGTTATTGTTCCAGTTAGTTATTTTATGGTAATTAAAAGATATACACGAATGAATAACTCATCAACCTTATCATCTTAATCATCTTAATCATCTTTTTAAATGTGCCGTGGAGAGTCAAATAGTTGGTGACTGCTGTGTGCGCGTGTACCATCAAATCGTCATCTCATCAACATATAAACGTGATTAGTGGTCTTTTGAATCGGTGGAGACGGTGATATTATTAGAGAATAATTACATAAATATATATATATATATACATATTATAATTGTATTGACATATATTGTAGTTATATAAAGATATTTAAATTATACTGTGTTTTGTTAATGTGAACTATAAGTACATGACTGTCAATCCGCCCCAAAAAGAACCAAAGGTCCAATTTTGTGACAACAGCTGCACTACAGCCTACTCTTATATCGAATTCCAACTGTCAAAGGAATCTTTTAAGTGCACGCCAATGTGTACACGAAACCTCGGTTTTTCGTCCCATCCAAATGATTAGACAGCTGTCCTTGTCAGGCCATCCGTCCTGCATCACTGACAAGGGGGGACCACGCCGGAAAATCTGGATGAACTTTCTCGGGCAATGCTGGGATAGAACAACCGACCTCCAGGCTAGCGAGCCAGCGTCTTACCCACTTATCCTGGGAGAAGAATATACTTGATCAGTCACATCAAATATACATTCCCACGAAAATATTTATCAGAGAGTTATTTCCAATAAAAGTATGGCAATTTTGGTATATGGAAAGTATAGACATTCATGGGGTGCGCACAAGACAAAGATAGGTTGCCAGCCAACGAAACATACGCCCACAGCAGTTAAATCGTCCGGGCAGTCAACAAGAGTTGTCGCATATTTTTACTTTTTTCGGTAATGAAACATTTATAATACACTAAAATCTGATTAAGAGCAACAACTCAGAAAACCATTAGAATTTGTTTGGTTTTTATAAAGTTCTGCCCCATGCTAACGTTTTGTATACAAAACTTTTAATATCATGGATTTAGCTGTTCCAAGTCATAAAAATTCATTGAAAATCAATATACTTGTTCCTCTGAAGATCTTAAACTCTGTGTATCAATCTGAAGTCAATCGGATATTAACTTTGGCCTCTAGAGCGTCCACGATATTTTTCAAAGTGATCAAGGACCATAACTCTGGCAGTATTTATCAGAAATCACTGAAAACCAATAGGATTCTTCGTCTCATGATCTTAAACACTGTGCATAAATTTAAAGTCAATCGGATATAAACTTTGGCCTCTAGAGCATCCACAAGATTTTTCAAAGTGATCAAGGGCCATAACTTTGGCAGTAATTATCGGAAATTGCTAAAAATCAATAGGCTTCTTCGTCTCATGACCTTAAACACTGTGTATGAATTTAAAATCAATCGGATATTAACTTTGGCCTCAAGAGCGTCCACAAGATTTTTTGAAGTGATCAAGGGCCATAACTCTGGCAGTAATTACTGGAAATCGCTGAAAAACTATAGGCTTCTTCGTCTCATGACCTTAAACACTGTGTATAAATTTAAAGTCAATCTGATATTAACTTTGGCCTCTAGAGCATCCACAAGATTTTTCAAAGTGATCAAGGGCCATAACTCTGGCAGTAATTATCGGAAATCGCTGAAAATATCAATAGGCTTCTTCGTCTCATGGCCTTAAACACTGTGTATAAATTTAAAGTCAATCGGATATTAACTTTGGCCTCTAGAGCGTCCACAATATTTTTCAAAGTGATCAAGGACCATAACTCTGGCAGTATTTATCGGAAATCCCTGAAAATCAATAGGATTCTTCGTCTCATGATCTTAAACACTGTGCATAAATTTAAAGTCAATCGGATATAAACTTTGGCCTCTAGACCATCCACAAGATTTTTCAAAGTGATCAAGGGCCATAACTCTGGCAGTAATTATCGGATATCGTTGAAAATCAATAGGCTTCTTTGTCTCAAGACCTGAAACACTGTGTATAAATTTAAAGTCAATCGGATATTAACTTTAGCCTCTAGAGCGTCCAAAAGCAATTGTGGACGCCGGACCGACGGACGGGGGCAACAACAATATACGACCACATTTAAATGTGGGCGTATAAAAATCTATTGACATCCCTAAACGACAGGCTATCAGTTTAGTTGTCTGCTTGTGTGACGTGTTGATCAAATGCCTAACAGTTTTGAGAACATTGAGAGAATTAAAAGTCCAATAGACTATGTGATTAAATGCCGGGGGAAAAAGTTGGCAGAGGATAATCCAGAAACTTACTTGGGCTTTGATATTTTATGGTAAATGGAAAGCGACTAAAGGCATCTGTAACATTAATGGAAAAGTTACATTGACTGTCCAGTTACTGCCATTAACAAGCATATTATATCAAAGCCACTATATTAATTAATGCAATCATATGGGGTTTACATCATCTTACTTTTCAGCAACAATTGGGTTAATGAAGATGGGCACTATATATAAATAAAGCTATTGCATCTGATGACAGATTTCTATACTAGTGTAATCAAGGCAAACAGAAGCAGCTGGCAATACTTGTCAAATAGTTGATTTAAAAGGTCAACTATATATATCATTCAGTAGACATGTGTTATAAAGGTTTTCACTCAGCCAAGAATAAATGGAATAATAATCCTTCAGACTTCAGTCACGACATTTTACTCAGTGAATATTAAATACAGGTCTCACCTTACTCACACCTCAACAGTATCTAATCAGCTATTTGCAGAGTACATGTAAATGCCAAATAATATCTAAATTAATTTACCTTGTTGATTACTTTATTTCCTCCAAATTTCTTTACAAACTCCTCTGGTGTAGCAACACAAAAATCTTTTAAGCTAGCACGTCTTGATAATCTGTTTGTATCCAAATTGACTCCGGACATAGTGTGCCTTCAAAGAAAAAACACCATTTAATCATGTTTAAAACAAGACTTGCTAGTCAGCAGCTAATTGAACATGTATATGAGTTAATTAATGTTCAACCTCTTCCAATATCAACAGGCATACTAAGGATATTTTTAGTATCAGGTAACATGTTTTACTCCATATTGTTTTTATTACCCTGCAGACTACAGGTGAGCAGACTGGTTGTAATAGCCGTACACATAAGTAGACATTGTATATCTGTGTAGTATATATAGAAGCAAATCAGTGTTAATACTAGATTATTATATTTTTTCTTTGTTTATTGGGATTAACAGTTTACATATTACTGTAGTTCAAGGTAATAAAAGAGTAGACGAATTCAAAAGATATGTACTAAAAGATGCATTATATAAGATTTAGATCAAAAGTTGGACGTTCTTGCTATAATAGTTCAAAAAATAGATTCATATAATGAAAAATGAAAATATTGAAAAATTTCAGTCAAATTACTTTATTCTGAGCACAGTTATGAGTGAAGTTTTGATAAGATAGTATCGATGGTCAAGTGCCATTGCTACAATAATGAACATAGTCTCGATTTTCCATTTTAAATTAAATTATTAAATGGTGCAAAGGTTTTAATCCATAGGCAGATTTAGGCCTGTGCACACGAAGGCCCTGTCTGTCTGCAACAATCTGTCAGTCAATTTTTTGCTGCCAAAACTTGTGGCTTCCATCAAAGTTCTAAACAGAAATCTGTCATAAAAGCAAGCATTTGGAAATTTTATCCATCCTAATGAAATTTGGAGAAAATCTGTTGGACTGTATACTTTGCCTCAGATCAATGGTGATATATTTCACAGCTATGTGAAATTGCTAACAAACAATTCTTGGTAATGTGCAGACCATTCTACCAGCTGATTTGAGCTGATAACTAATCAGTCACATTAATCCTTAATCTTCATTAAATCCGCTCTGTTGGATGCATTATTATCTCACCAGAAATTGTATCGAGTAAAGCACAAAAAATATATAGATGAGAATAAATATTATCATTGCAAAAGCTACAAATTTATTGGATGCATGAAACATTCATCTTTAGGTAAAGCCCCACAATGACTGTTGGCTAGGTATGTAAATATTATTTATTCACTTTATCAATAATAAGCTTTACTAAAAATAAAATAAAATTTAAAAAAAATCTTTTACCCATCCAAAATTTCAACAACCTCTGTGGAACTATTTTCCATATTATGAGAATTTTCAGAGACTGGTACATAATAATCCATGTCTGTTTCAAATGCAAGCACCTTACATAAGAGACATATTATAAGCAATGCCAACAAAATGTACAAATAACCTGTCCTCGCTGTAAGTAATGCAGACAAATTCTTCAAATAACCTGTCCCCTCTAGCAAACTTACAAATATCCATACAAATAATTCACCAAGTAACATTGTCACCACTTTAACCGAACTTATTAATCTATAAGATTAATTAGCATTATCTTTAAAAATTTAAAATCATGTGTACATGTCAACATTATAAAATGAAATGATTTTCAGTTTTAAAAAAACTACTTTTATATATTCAATTATAATTCTGTGTAATGACTACTAATTAGAATAAGTTAAATAACCCCAAATAAATGATAACAATTTGTTCTAAATCAAATATTTAAATGTTCCATCAACAATACTTCTAGTGAATGGCAATGTTTATTAAAAGATAAACAAGCCAACAGTGAGGCTGATGTCCCCCACCGAATTCCCAAAATAAACAGATGACACATATTAATTAATCGCACATTTATTTTTTTCAAAAATATCAAGCAATCAAACTGATTATAAACTATACACTAAGTTTCATCACTCTCTATCAGACAGAATCATATTTATCTTGTCCCAAAGCATCGACCAATGAAATTTCTCAGCTCTGCTTAGTATTAGCTCGAAATGTTATCATTGAACCTAATGAACATTTACATCAAGTTTAAACATTCTACCTTAATTAAAAGCAGAGTTGTTATGTTCCAAAGTCTTGACCAATCGAATTGCTTACCACGCCGCTGACCCTGAGCAGTAAATGCTCATTATCGAACTTAGTCAAGGCATTGATGTAATAAAACTACACATCAAATTTCATCACTCTCACTTAATTGGAACTAAAGTTATCGTGTCCCAAAGCATCAACCAATCAAATTGCTCTCTGCTTACATTAAGCAGAAAATGCTCATCTTCCAACTCCATCAAGGCATTGACCTAATAAACACCTACACCAAGTTTGAACATTCTAGCTCAATTAGAATAAGAGTTATTGTGTCTTCGAAAGGCAGGGGACAATTAATATTAATAGTTAATAGTATAGTACAATAATATACATGTAAGAATTAATTTCTACTTGTCAGCATATATTACACATGACACAAACTTTATTTTGATCCAAATCATCCTATATAACCATGGACCCTCTTTTATAATGTCCATGAGATAACAAATACTGACATGTCATTATTTCCTTACTCAAGCTTTAACACTGCTCAGACAGGGTCGGTTTAGAATTTACTGAGGTGAACACAACAAACACATATTATACGTCCCTGCAACTAGATTTATATGCTCTAAAATTAGTAAACAAACCCAACTCCTGTTAAATCTTTTGTCACATATTGAAACAACAGATCAAGCCCGATTTTCACCTAAATTAAAGAAGTCAAATATAAACATTATTTCACTACCTGGGTTTCATTATATTATTGTATAAACAAGTTCATGTTAAAACAGTATATTCTAGAAAACTTTAAAATTATGTACAAGAGTAAGCTTACATCAAAACATCCTGTTTCAAACATGTGTCCTGAACTCCTGGCTTCACCAAATGTATAATGACCTGTCTGTGAACTTTTGATCTTAAAGAGACATTAGGTCTCTCTCAATGAATTATAATAAAAAAATTTGAAGCACACATTTTTACACAAAGCCTTTCGGTACTTATTCAAAGTATTTATTCATGCATAAAAATTTAACATTTTTAAATGAATGTTATGGTTAACTCAACCATACAACTTACGTTTATATAATTTTAGAAATAAATACAAAAGTTAGACCATGTTCAAGTTTAATTAAAGATGCATTATGTAAGATTTAGATAAAGAGCTGGTCGTTCTTCCTGTAATAGTTCTAAAATAGATAATGAAATATAAATAGTTTGAAATTCATTTACTCTGAGCGAAGTTAGGAGTGTTTTTAGTTTTGAGTTAAGTCTTGACTGTTAAATACCATTGTTACGATTTATAAACAAAGTCTCTATTATCCATTTTAACCATAAATTATTATATGATGCATGTGTTGTAATCCATTCAATATTCTAGAGGGTTGATTATGGGCTTATATGTGAATATCTAAATAAAATTTAAATTCCCCCCCCCCCACCAAAAAACCCTGCAATATGCAGATTTAGCTCTTGCATTTTTAATGGACAATGCAGAGAAAAAAAAAATTAATAGACACCAGCATGTTTAATTTGTATATTTGAATAAGTTTAGATTAACCAGGAGATGGTGAGGTTTTAGTTTTTGTTCATGTATCTATTCTAAATAAAGAATCTCCTACGAGTCTTTTTTGATATAAAAAATATCAACACAAGTTGATAAATTAAAAAAAAAAAGGAGGCTTTATACATATATACAAGTCAACAGGGAGGAGGATGTTCCCAGTTGAAATAATCCCAAAATAAATAGATGACGCATATTAACTAAACGCACATTTATTTTTTTCAAAAGTATAGAGCAATCAAACCATACACTAAGTTTCATCACTCTCTATCAGATAGAATCAAGATTATCTTGTCCCAAACCATTAACAAATAAAATCGGTTAGCTCTGCATAGCTTCAGCTCGAAATGTTAATCATTGAACTCAGTCAAGACATTCACCTAATGAACATCTACATCAAGTTTAAACATTCACCTGATAGACACCCACGCCAAGTTTGAACATTCTACCTCAATTAGAAGGAGAGTTATTGTGTTCCAAAGTCTCAACCAATCAAATTGCTTATCACTCTGCTTACACTCCGCAAAAAATGTTCATTATCGAATTAGTCAAGGTATTGATGTAATAAAGCTATACACCAAGTGTCCTCACTCTCACTTAATTAGAATGAGAGTTATCGTGTCCCAAAGCATCAACCAATCAAACTGCTTATCTCTGCTTACCCTAAGCAGAAAATTCTCATCTTCGAACTCCATCAAGGCATTCACCTAATAGACACCTACGCCAAGTGTGAACATTCTAACTCAATTAGAATGAGAGTTATGTGTTCCAAAGTCTCAACCAATCAAATTGCTTATGACTCTGCTTACCCTGTGCAGAAAATGCTCATTTTTGAACTCCATCAAGGCATTGACTTAATAAACACCTACACCAAGTTTGAACATTCTGGCTCAATTAGAAAGAGAGTTATTGGGTCATTCCATGTCAACTGGACTAATGATGGGAACATGACCCCCTCCAAAAAAATTATAAAAAAATATATGTTATAGTATATGGCCTTTAACTAAGAAATCTGAAATTTTACCTCTCTAGGTTGGAAACTCACTGAGATATGGCCATTTGAAATTAGGGTACTAAAACAGATCATAAATTCAGTAATTTTTTTCAGGTTTTCGGATGCTTTAAACTCACATTTCCAATAGGAGTAGGACTCTCTAACTTTGTAATCTAAGAGATCTTTTGGTGAAGATTTGAATGTAGCATCACACTAATTGTCCAATGCATACTGTTCGCACCACCAGGTGGCAAAATGTGGAACAAATGAACTATTCACTTTTATTTTCAGGATTTCCACAGCCTCTGGCAAAGTCACTATCGTATACACAAACTCCAAAATTGGCATAGTTAATGTCAGTCTTTTTTGATATAAAAAATATCAACACAAGTTGATAAATTAAAAAAAAAAAACGAGGCTTTATACATATATACAAGTCAACAGGGAGGAGGATGTTCCCAGTTGAAATCCCAAAATAAATAGATGACGCATATTAATTAATCGCACATTTATTTTTTTCAAAAGTATAGAGCAATCAAACCATACACTAAGTTTCATCACTCTCTATCAGATAGAATCAAGATTATCTTGTCCCAAACCATTAACAAATAAAATCGGTTAGCTCTGCATAGCTTCAGCTCGAAATGTTAATCATTGAACTCAGTCAAGACATTCACCTAATGAACATCTACATCAAGTTTAAACATTCACCTAATAGACACCCACGCCAAGTTTGAACATTCTACCTCAATTAGAAGGAGAGTTATTGTGTTCCAAAGTCTCAACCAATCAAATTGCTTATCACTCTGCTTACACTCCGCAAAAAATGTTCATTATCGAATTAGTCAAGGTATTGATGTAATAAAGCTATACACCAAGTGTCCTCACTCTCACTTAATTAGAACTAAAGTTATCGTGTCCCAAAGCATCAACCAATCAAACTGCTTATCTCTGCTTACCCTAAGCAGAAAATTCTCATCTTCGAACTCCATCAAGGCATTCACCTAATAGACACCTACGCCAAGTGTGAACATTCTAACTCAATTAGAATGAGAGTTATGTGTTCCAAAGTCTCAACCAATCAAATTGCTTATGACTCTGCTTACCCTGTGCAGAAAATGCTCATTTTCGAACTCCATCAAGGCATTGACTTAATAAACACCTACACCAAGTTTGAACATTCTGGCTCAATTAGAAAGAGAGTTATTGGGTCATTCCATGTCAACTGGACCAATGATGGGAACATGACCCCCTCCAAAAAAATTATAAAAAAATATATGTTATAGTATATGGCCAATGCATACTGTTCGCACCACCAGGTGGCAAAATGTGGAACAAATGAACTATTCACTTTTATTTTCAGGATTTCCACAGCCTCTGGCAAAGTCACTATTGTATACACAAACTCCAAAATTGGCATAGTTAATGTCAGTTTGTCTTATATCAATTTACAAAAGATTCTAAGTCGATGGGATATATACTTTTCCAAATATTCAGTCTCGAAATTCATTGCACACTGAAAACGTACAAAATATACCCATTTTCACCTTAAATTTTAGCCATGTGGGACAGAGGTTAAATTCTTAAAAATTTGATAATAAAACTTCAAATACCCTACTATAGGATATATTAAAGTCCATCTTGTGCATTTGATGGCTTATATTTTTAATTGGCACTTGAAATCTGTGCGGTGATGAAGCTTTAATGGCTGTTATCCAAATTGTTGACTTTTCATGTTGATTTTAAAATAACTTCTAAATGACCTATACTCCTCAAACATGTCGGTTTAGAGTAACCTTTTACTAGATTACAAATATGTATATAGGTAATCATTTTGGATGTACATTGTATTGTTCCAATTTTGCCTCCAAAATGAGAACAAAATGGTTAATACGCTTCACGAATTAGAAAAATGGGTTTTGATGATCAGATTGAAATTATTTCTGAAAGACTTAGACCCCTTATATTTGTCATTTTAGATCAACTCTTAACATAGAATAAGAATAAAGACTCTTTGGGTTCAGGGAATATCGTTTCAATTTAGTTTTGCTTTAAAAACGGGTGAAAGCGTGGTTTGTCTGCCTAGAAAGTCGAAGTACGACCTTATGTAGTTTCACTATCACTAGACTACAGGCCGCAATTCTTAACGCATCGTCTTGAAACTATGTATACAAGTTTCTTCTTATACCCTAAGGATGTTCCCTATTTTTTTTTGGTGCGTGCCAGACCCCCAGTAGCAGAGAGCCACGCTCAATTTTTGCATGTGTCAAGCCATGATTCTTAATGGATTGTCTTGAAGTTGTGCATATTTATTCCTTTTACCCTAAGAATGATCGCTATTGTGTTTTGTGCATGACCAACCCCTAGGGGCAGAGCCACGCCTATTTTTTCTTTGTGTGTCTGTACTTTTCATACCTTTACGATGACCGCTATTATTTTGGTGCATGCCAGAACCCCAGGGGCATAGCAACGCCCATTTTTTTATGTTTATTGCCTAGGGGACGCAATTCTGAATGGATCATCCTGGAGCGTGACAGGGGTCCGGCATGCATCAAAAGTTCAGAATTGCAACCTGTGGCCGATAACACTGAAATCTGGTGTTGCTGTGCCCCTGGGGGTCGGGCATGCACCAAAAATAATAACAGTCATCCTTTGGGTATAAGGAATATATATGAATAGTTTTCAAAACAATCCATTAAGAATTGCAGCATGTAGGCAAAAAAAACACACAGACACACTAAGAAAAAATGGGCGTTGATCTGACCCGGGTTGGGCAAGGACCAAAAACAATAGCAAACATACTTAGGGTATAAGGAATAAGTATGCAAAGTTTCAAGACCATGTGTTAAGAATTGCGGCCTGTAGTTTTCAAGTGTTCAGTGATAGTGTAACAACATTATTGTACTTCAACTTTCTAAGCAGACAAAACAAGTTTTCCACTGTGTTTGAAAGCAAAATTAAATTGAAACGATATACTCCCTGTAGCCAAATGAAATGAGTCTATATTCTTATTCTACATTATATAAGTTGCTCTAAAATGACAAATATGAGGGGCCTAAGTCTTTCAGAAGTAATTTTAATCTGGCTGTCAAAGCCCAATATTCCAATTTGTAAAGCGGAATAACCATGTTTCTCATTTGGGAGGCCAAATAAATATTAGAACAATACAATGTAGATTGCATATTTGTAATCTACCCAACACAAGCATTTACTCTAAATAGACACGTTTGAGGGGTATAGGTCATTTAGACATAATTTTAAAATCAACGTGAAATGTCAACAATTTTGATGATAGCCGTTATAACTTTATCACTGCACAGATTTCAAGTGCCAATTAAAAATATAAGCCATCAAATACACAAGATGAACTGTAATGTATGGTATAGTAGGGTAATTGAAGTTTCATTCTCAAACTGTTTCAGAATTTTAACCTCTGTCCCACATGGGCAAAATTGAAGGTGAAAATGGATGTATTTTGTACGTTTTCAGTGTGCACTGAATTTCGAAACTGAATATTTGGAAAAGTATATATCCCATCGACTTAGAATCTTTTGTAAATTGATAAAAGCCAAACTAAAATTAACTATGCCAATTTTGGAGGTTGTGTATGCAATAGTGAATTTGCCAGTGGCTGCGGAAATTCTGAAAAAAAAAGAGTGAATAGTTCATTTGTTCCACATTTTGCCACCTGGTGGCATGAACTGTGTGAATCACACATTGTGTGATGTAAATTCATAATCTACACCAAAATTTGTCTTATATTACAAAATTAGAGAGTTCTACTCCTATTAGAAATGTGAGTTTAAAGCACCTGAACACCTGAAAAAAATTACTGAATTTATGATTTGTTTCAGTACCTTAATTTCAAATGGCCATATCTCATCGAATTTTTGGCATAGAGAGGTATAATTTTGGATTTGTTAGCTTAAGTCCATGTACTGTAACATATATATTTAATAAATTTTTTTGGAGGGGGTCATGTTTCCAACTTTCCGAAATTTGGTCCACTTGACATGGAATGACCATATTGTGTTCCAAATTCTCGGCCAATCAAATTGCTTATCGCTCTGCTTACCCTGAGTAGAAAATGCTCATTATCGAACTTAGTCAAGGTATTAATGTAATGAAACTATACACCAAGTTTCATCACTCTCACTTAGTTAGAACTAAAGTCATCGTGTCCAAAACATCAACCAATCAAATTGCTTATCATCTTCGAACTCCATCAAGGCATTGACCTAATGAACACCTACACCAAGTTTGAACATTCTAGATCAATTAGAAAAAGAGTTGTGTCGCAAACAGTGTGATGGACAGACAGACAAACAGACAAGCCCATTTTAATAGTCCCCTGCTTTCTTCGAAAGGCGGAGGACAAAAAATAAAATAAAATTCTTTGGTATAGATTTAATTTTACTGAACCTGACTACATTACGGTGTAGTGATACATCATTTTTTGACAGCAAGTCACCCATTCTATATATTGACCCGGTGTATCCTTTAAAGACCACATATGATGAAAAACCAAAATTTCATGTACGTATAGCCAATGGTTACTATATCCACTTTACGGGAAGTTCACACCAATCTGATTAAAATTAATTTGTCTGTTAACATTTAAGTATCAGACACGCCAAAACGCTTTTCAATTTTCAATTACGACCTTAATCCGGTTGATTGGCTGGTGACGTCACAGGCACTACACATAGTATATACATTATCTAAACAATATATCACTGTCTGTACAAAATATCACTGTCTATACATACCACCAGTTGACAAGTGTCTATTGACGGTCAAAATACCATGTGACTGGCCTAATCATAATCACCGAATTATTGTCTTACATTGTTATAGATTAGACATTTGTGATTTGAATATTTTAGAGTGAATTTAAAATGCCGTATCAAGCCGTAGATCCATTTAAGCGTCTCAAGCAATTCGCACATTTACCGGTAATTTGGACAACCCCGTAATACTTGATATCTCAAACTATTCTCTGTAAGTACAGAAATACAAATGGTGCCAGTCATTTGTCGATATATTCATTATTAGCTATATATAAATACACAAAGAACAACTTTTATCATAACTCCATTTGAAATTCACAGCAAATATGGAATTTTCCTATGACTATGCATAACAATAGATCGCCCTCATTTCTCAGCCAATCAACGCTGGGAATCTTATTACCATGTATGGTTCCATGCACACACACGTTCAACCTAGAGTGATGTCTTTGATCTGGCCGGTGTAAAAAAAGACAGTTACTTAATCATCGAGGTGTAAATTAATTTATGACCCCATGTCTGTGCAACTTTAGTCGAATTGATTAATTAATGACATTAACGACACTAAACTTGCCATATTATTATCAATACACAAAGATAGTTAGATGACCCTTCTCAATCTGTTATTCAATTTAGATGGTTACCAACAAAATTTATTTTACAGTTAATTCTAAAGTATATTGAGATATTTTTCATATTTCATTTTCACCATCTATTTCAGAGTAATGAAGTCAAATCCGCATGCAGAAAGAAAGGTGCCGTACGATGGCTACAGGAAAACGAGATACAGTTGGCTACTCTGATAACGGATCGTCATGTTTGACTTTTAAGATACATTTTGTATGACCACATCTTTTTACTGCTGTACTCGGGAAATTACTACCACAATACTCTTCTGACGAAAATGTATCTCGAATCGTTAGGACTGCACATGATGGTAGAGGAACTTTAAAACACAGTATTAAAATCACTGTCGTGAGAAGAGAGCAGGAACATTATAAAACAATCTAAATTACAAAACAAGTTATTCCGTAGTCAATTGTTTTATTTAATTAGGGGATTAAGGAATCAGTCAGGCATTAATGAATACACACGCCGGCTGTATATAACTAATTAAGGAATAAACATTCCGAATATGCATTCAGTCACTGTGACGTCACTGGCGACTGAGGGGATTAAGAGTGTTTTCGACAATTGGCAAAGTCGTTTTTACGGGAGGTGGATAAAGTGGATATAGTAACCATTGGCTACACGTACCAGAAATTTTACTTGTCCATCTTATGTGCACTTTAAGGTTATGGGGAGTATTGTAATTGGTAATTGATTATGGTAATTGAGAACTTTTATATTACTGGATCCAAAAAGTAGAATATTATACCTCTACTTCTAAATGTCATTCGAGGAACTTAGTTTCTTTTTGATTAAAAAAAGTAGTTCCTTTCTAATTGACCAATCAAATGTAAAGTGATATCTCCTTAGGAGATTATGAAATTTATCACACAATCAATATCTACTGTAGAATGTGTTATTGGGTGATAAAGTCCTGTTGACCCCATTTAAGTGTAATCTACTATGTAATTCTTACACTGTTTGTACTTCTTATTCTATTTATTTACCTGTTTATAAACAAATTCCAAAAATATTTCAAAGAAAAAGTTCATTTCATTATACCAGTTACTAGTACCTGTCAATGTTATATAGAACTCTTTTTTTAACAACTTGTATACATCAATATCACACAGTGTAAGCTTACATTCTACACAGAAAGATCACCAAATCTTATGTTTACATGATAGTCTGATAATCTGTTCACGTGTTATGTCGACCAATGCTTCTTCTCAGAAGGTTAAAGACAGGCTGCAAGACAATGAAGCTACATCGTCCGGTCAGTCAACTAGAGTTGTCACCCATTTTTTCTTTGGTCAGAAATGAAACATTTACAAAAACTAAAATCTGATTATTCAAAGTAATCATGGGCCATAACTTGGACAATATTTATCAGAAACAATTGGAAATCCATAGGATTTGTCATCTTACGACCTTAAACATACATTATGCAAGAGCTAAATCTGCCTATTGCAGGTCTTTCTTTAGGCCTGAAATGTTTTCTAAATTATTAATTAGACTTTAATTAACTTATCCTGTCCATAATCAACTCTCGATGGCATCGGATTTCTCTGATATTAAATAGATTAGAACAGTTCAGCCATATTTTGTTTTTTAAGCCAAAAATGGAGGAGCGAGACTTAGCTTCAAACAACCAGCACTGTGGTTGAAATTATTGCACACGTCTTGTCAAACCTTTAAAGGCTAATATCTTCACTCGCGATAGAGTAATTTGAATGAAATTTTCAAATTATTCATTTTACATTATCTATTTTCGAACTATTATAGCAAGAATGGGTAGCTCTTTATCTAAATCTTACATAATGTATCTTTAAACATGGTGTATAAATTCAAAATCAATTGGATGATAACTTTGGTCTCTAGAGCATCCAAAAGATTTTTCAAATTGATCAATAGTCATAGTAATTATGGGAAATCGTTAATAATCAATAGGATTCTTTGTCTCATGACCCTAAACACTGTGTACACATTTAAAGTGAACAAGGGCCATAACTCGGCAGTAATGATGGGAAATCGTTAAAAATCAAAAGGCTTCTTTGGCTCATGACCTTAAACACTGTGTATAAATTTAAAGTTAAACAGCTATTAACTTTAGCCTCCAGAGCGTGGACATGATTTTTCAAAGTGATCAATGGCCATAACTCTGGCAGTAATTATCGGAAGTAATTGAAATTCAACAGGCTTCTTCATCTCAGGACCTTAAACACCGTGTATAAATTTAAATATACAACCACATTTCAATGTGGATGTACAAAAACTATGTACACACAAGGATTCTATTAGTCAATGCTCAACAAATCTTCTGTTAAAGGCTCAATACCACTCTTGTTGTAACAGAATAATATGTCCCAATCTTTATTCTGGTCAACAAATTGTACTATTTTACAGTATTCCAATTAATTGATGATACAAATTTCATCTTAACACACCTACATGTAATTTAAAAAATTGGAAAAATTAAACTAACTGATTTGACAAGCCTAATCTAAACCTTTTCAAATGTGACTTGGATTTAAATATATTTTCGAACCCTCTGAACAAGTAAAATAGGATGTAATGGATAATTTACACAACAGGTAGGACACTTAAACATCTAATACTTAGAATAAGGCTAATATTTATTTACTGGAGCTGTCAAGCCAGCAAAAGTGTTATTGTCCCTTTAAATCACCTTAAAGGGCTATTATTATTCATCCAAAAATCAATGACAGCTAATTATGCTAGATAAAGAACATTATAACAAATCTCAATACTGGTTCATCGATAGCCAGTTTACAAACTGAATTTTAATTGCCATCTTCAACTGCAAAGCAGACCCATTTTGATCAAATGCTGTATTGAATAATTTACTAATTCCCCCCCCCCCCATTTTTTTTATTAAACTTTCATATGTATTACATGGTCAAATGTTTGGTATTTGAATATTTCAAAATTTTGAATTTCGCCTCTGATGTTTTCCGTGCCGACAAGGATGTTTTCGAGTGTACGCGCGCACGCATGCGCGTCACATCCCTACTTTCGTGCACACCAACTTAACACTTACCGGGTACCTGGCCTATGGGCCCAAGCACAATTCCAAAAAATAAATTTTAGGGCTCAACCCATGGGGGGCAGGCGGTGGCCATTTTCCCCGAGGGTACATAAAGTTAAACAACAAATAGAGATGGAACTAGGTGTTCGATTTTAATTTTGAGACAATTTTTGGATGCCCCGAGGTCGGAAATGGGGGAGTAGCCGAAGTTTCAAAGAGATAGGACCATTTTTAAAAAAAAAAATCCACCATAACGTATTTAGGTGCTTTTGACTTCGCCCATGCGCTACGCTGGAACCAAAGGTAGTATGAGTACCAAATTCCGGCGAGGAACTTTTCACGTTGGTACCTAGGTGCCAAGATAATTTCAAGGCGATACCTGCATTCGTTCAATTCAAGTCGTTTGTTCTTGGCACGGCTCCCGGTCACTTTTTTTTATTTTAAGTACAATTACGGCTTCTATAAGGGGAAAAAAGTCGAATTTCACTACGACACCAGTACCGATTGTCCGAAAACCATGAAATTTTGACAAAATACACCCATTACCACCCCAGACTCTGTGCTTTAGTCCCATTTTGATACGATTAAAAAAAAAAAAGAGTTTTAGCAACAAAAAAAAACGATTTTTGGAATTTAATATTAGTTTTAATTAATTTTGAAATTGCAAATTCAAAGGGATTTTATCGCCTCTTCTGTATGTGATAGGTATTAGTACTATTCACATTATCCTTAAAAGACAATTTTTTAAAATGACCGGAATGATGTTTGCGACACTAAAATCCGAAATCGCCCATTTTGACCTTTTTTGACTGCTGAGGCATCCTTCCGGTGGTCAAAATCTCTGGAATTTCTAGCGGCTGGCTGCGCCGCGATGATATTGATCACATATTAAAAGAAGAAAATGCTCAGATATCAAGAACAATAAAAAATCGATAAAATAGGGCAATTTTTTAAGCAAAAAAAACATTGATGGGTGGGGGTGGGCTTCGAATTTATTTTCAACATTCTCGGAATCCCACACTCTTCTATTTTTAATATGTGTTAGTTAGAATCCCAAGGTACATTTTGTGCAAATTTGAAGGCAATTAGCTTTAGTGAGAAATGTGAAATCCAAAATGGCCGCCATGCAAATTTCCAAAATTCTATTTTTTCCTCTAGTTTTACAGTTACACAGGGGCCAAGGTGGTGTCTAAATCTTGATCATCTTCTCGTTCTCGTTTACTTTTAAGTGCTACTCCTCTCTCATTAGCAAACATAATCAAATGAAACTTGACAAGGAATACCAGTCACTTTTGGGGCTTGTTTTTATCTACTTGTAGGTTGCTCAGTCCTTTGTCAAGCTATGGTATGGCATGCCTCTGAACCAAAAATTTCACGGCGTTGCACCCCCACCTCTAAGTGCGTGAGGTCGGTCTGCCTACCCTCACTTGGAGACCCCAGCATGTCTCTGACCGAACCGAATGACGGACAGGGGTGACCTCAATATACAACCATATAATAAATCAAAATCAGATTTAGAGTTTAGTAATTTATATTCAGATAAAGTGACACATTATCCGTGTGACAAACCATACATCATCTGTGTACCTGTCACCGACAAATTATAATAAATACTGTCTATTTACAACAATAAATATAGTTAGGCCTATATATAAAATATAAAAGATAATAAATAACTTATGTAACCTGTCTTGTGAAAACATTAGACAAAAACAGAAGACATCCATCATTCATAATGTTCACTGTGCAGTAATTTTATTAATATATTACCTCCCTCATGATATTACAGGAGAGAAGTTCAGCCATTGCAGATTCTTTACACAGGACCTTATTCATTATCTAGTAATCAAAACGTTCCACAATTCACCTATAACAAATTAGAATGCTGAGTATGATGTCATCAGGATAATTGTCAGTCACTGTTTATAAATGAAATGAACGTCCTACTGTTCTGCTCCTATACTGGGCTAATGAAGACGGGCATACGCCATACAGTGTGCTATGACGGAAATTTTGCCCGGGCTGCGGCACTATCGCCTACTCTTATATCGAATTCCAACTGCCAAGGGACCTTTTACGTGCATTCCAATGTATACACAGGACCTCGGTTTTTTGTATCATACGAAGGACTAGACAGCTGTCCTGGTCAGGCCCTCCGTCCTGCATCACTGACAAGGGGGAACCATGCTGGAAAATCTGGATGAACTTTCTCGGTCAATGCAGGGATCGAACACCCGACCTCCAGCGTCTTACCCACTTAGCCACATGATCACCCACTGTTTATAAACAAAACCATGCGATCATACTATAAAGATAGGTTGCCAGGCAACGAAACATATGCCCACAGCAGCTAAGTCGTCCGAGCAGTCAACAAGATTTGTCGCATATTTTTTCTATTGTCGGTAATGAAACATTTATAATACACTAAAGTAAAATCCGATTGAGAGTAATATCTCATTAAGTAATTATCAAAAAATCATTAGAATTTGTTTGGCTTTTAGTTCTGCCCCATTTACACTAAATACGATTAAGAGTAACAACTCAATAAGTAATTATCAGAAAACCATTAGAATTTGTTTGGTATTTATAAAGTTCTGCCCCATGCTAACGTTTAATATACAAAACATTTAATATCATGGATTTAGCTGTTCAAGTTATCAAAATTCATTGAAAATTAATATACTTGTTTATCAATCTAAAGTCAATTGGATGATAACTTTGGTCCCTAGAGCATCCACAAGATTTTTCAAATTTATCATTGAAAACCACTGGGTTTCATCGTCTCACTACCTTAAACACAGTGTATACATGTACATTTAAAGTCAATTGGATATTAACTTTAGCCTCTAGAGCATCCACAAGATATTTCAAAGGCCATAACTCTAGCAGTAATTATCGGAAATCATTGAAAATCAATAGACGTCTTCGTCTCATGACCTTACACACTGTGTATAAATTTCAATCAGATATCAACTTTAGCCTTT